TTTTGTTGAAGAATTAATTACAAGGAAAACTTTTTAAAGAGATTGTTCTCACAGAAATGAAATTCTCTCATTATTTACAGTGGCGCCTCCAGAAATTTTTCGTAGGGGTGGCCAGATGGGGCCAGTTAAAATCTTGGGGTGGCACACCAAAACTACAGTATAAACCATAATTTCAGAATTGTTTACTACTGTTGTAATAAACCAGCCTGTAGAAAACTATCAGAAAGACTTAAGGAAACTCCTACTGATATACTTTGGTTTATTGTGTAATATTTAATGTTACTAATGATATTAGTAGGGCCCAACTAATATATATTACATTGTGTATAATGATATAAATTATATGATATATAAGGGTCCTTGCCCCACAGCAAATTTCCAGATACTTACATAATTGTGATGAATTTAATCATTTTTAAGTTATTAGTTTGCAGTGTAAGACTACAGTTAACACCTTTAAATATTACATAAATGTATTATGAATTTTTAATACACTTAATGAGTGTATACATCAGCAGCAAAAAGTAATTCTTGAAAAAATCTGCACAGTAATTTTATAAAATCTAAATATGTTAATAAAAACAAATTACTATTAGTTCTCTTTTAAAATTCAATCAGGCAATCATGTCACAATTTTATATTTATATATTAATGTCAAGAATTCAGAAGTGCATATATAGCCTAAACTACAAATAAATTATATACAATTAAATTATGCTTATTTAAAATGTATTGAGCAGGCTAGGTATAACAAAATATATTGGCTTTTAATAATATTTCAGTGCGCAAACCCATGTTTGAGCCCGTTCTTGCATGATTACATGAAAAACATCGCGGGTGCAGAATGATGTGCTCAAAGCAACATGGAGTCACAGTGTGCAGCAGCACTGCGCTTCATAAGTGTGCATTTAAAAGCTCATGTCACAAATCGAAAAAATGTTGAGCGCACAAATCCAAGTGCGATTTGTTCCTTTGTTTCACAGTTATTGTGCGTTTGATGCCGATTCATAATCCTTGTGATATGTATGTGTGATCTAACAGAACACGGTAGTGAGTCGCTTAAAAACAGCAACAAACTCCAAGAAAATAAAGTAATTTTATGCGAATATACAGACTTTTATCTACAGATCATGCATTTATAATGTCAATATATCATATTGGAGAGAGTTTTACCGTGCATCCAAGAGGCGCGCGTGCTGTTTGAATATGAATGGAGAATGATGACAGTCGCAGAGGAGGGAAAACGAGTTTATACTTTAATGATGTAAATATACTTCTGTCCCTCACATTAAGCTATGGAATGACTTCAGATGACTTTGTCACCCAAACTGACGTGAAAAAAGCGGGAGGCGCCGAAAAGCGCGCTGTTTGCATCCCTGCCAAAACGTGGCAAAAACACACCTAAAAGCTGCTGTAACAGTATACCATTTGGCACTTAAAAAGCACGTCACGACACATAATTCCCCGTCTTCTTTTACTTAAGAATATTTTTGACTTATTTATAAAATGCATAACTGATGCTACAAAAATTAATACTGGCCATTGGAGTGGCCAATGGGGTGGCCAGGAGTCGGCCAGGGGTGGCCATGGCCACCCCTGGCCACCCCCTGGTGGCGCCATTGATTATTTACTCACCCTCATGCCATCCCTGTTATAAAAGCAAAGGATAGAAAAAAAGAAAATTACTAATATTTTACACTCTTTTAACTATAAACCATCGTTTCTAGCCACCTGTCCTGGGTGCGTTCCCAAGTTCAGCTTGACATAAATGTAAGTGTGTTTTGAAGATAATTTTTCCGGTAACGCTTCCTTTTACAGTACAGTACTTACAGTGTACTTACCTAGAAAGTACTGGCTAATATAAGGTAAGTACATGGAACAGGGGTAGGTTCAGGGTTAGTACTAGTTATTACCCAGTAATTGTAGCTACTAAAATAAGTACATAGTATTTACATGGGTAACTGGACTGTAAAAGGAAGCGTTACCATTTTTCCTATTGTGTTTATCTGAAGAACGAAAGTTGAATGCATTATGGATGGCATGAGGGAGTAAATGATAGAACTATCCCTTTGAATTATTTTTGGAGTACTTGCTTCATGCAGTTACAGACTGACCTCTGAGCAGCCCGATCAGCGATCTGACCTTCATTATCATATCATATCCTGCTCAGCTTGACTGTATTGAGCGGGTTAGCATTTGACAGTGCTCCTCCAATAGGTCAGTGCTGAAGAGCAGATGGATTACCTTAGTGGAGCGTTATTGATTTCACTGCATTATAATGCCATAGCCAGTATGACATTCTGGCCCGTAATTTGACCGTGATGTGGCAGATCACTCGATAGATCTTAGACCAGTTTCCAAGCATGACATCACATCCCAACATATCCCTTTAGTTACCCAGAAATTTTAACTGCACCCTGCAAGCCAAAATGTGAAATTCATACCCAAGACCGCTCTATTTCCAGCGCTCGTTTTTGCATGGGACAATATTTGCTCAAATTGGATGTAAATGAATGTTGTTTTTCTAAATTCTCGTTGATGATTTGTGTCCATGTGTCAGTGGCGCTCCTCTCATTGAGCTGATTGGAAATAATGTGCTCCTCACGCAGGAGGTAACAATCCCAGCAAGAGGAAATGAGACAAATGATGAGGAACTCGGTGACAATGAGCAGACCACGTCTCACAGCGCGTTCACTCCGGCATGAGCGCGCTATTCTGAGCGCACAGCGACCTCATTGCCGAGATAGAAAATTGGATGTTTTATCTGGGTTGTTTTTCTCATTTCCAGATAAATATCAGCTTGTAAACTTGTTTTCTCTTTGAGACTGTGAAATATTAAATGACATTTCTTGGCTATCACCTGTATCCTTTCTCATCTACATTCAGACTATGGGAATATAAGGTGAACGTGATTTCACCAAGTACCACATGTTTGTTGATCCTCGATCAACTTTTCAATCAACCAATCAGATTTGAGAGACAAGTTTAGAGACAACCTGGGTGAAGTACTTAAACATCAGTGCTATTCACTAGGTTAGGTTTAGGGGTAGGGATTGAGTAAGGACTACATTTTGGGACAGGAATGTTGATCCATGTCTTACTTGGCAAAACAGTGACCGGGAATATAATGTGGTTAGAACCAGGCTGTCGTAATTAAGTATGTGAGAAGGTTTCTCTGTCTGAATGATTTGTTGTACTGATATAATTAGCAAGAAATGCTATGCTAATGGTCATTTTAATGAGGAACGCTGCCAAAAATGCTATTTTTAATCTGCATCTTTGTCTTGTTTTTCAGTAACACTGCCTAAACATTGTTGGCGCTCTGACGCTCTGTTGTTTTTCCACTTATTTTTTTATCAAAAAGGCCATTGGAGAATGTATAAAATGTGTAAACATCCTAAAACTAAATAACAATTGTTTTTTAAACTGGGGTGATATAACGGGTCTGCGGAAAGTTTCAGCAAAACATATTAAAAGTTAGAAAATAAAATGTTGCAATTTACATAATTTGATAATTATTGTTTGCTCTGTTTTATGAAGACTGGGTGGAAGTCATGAGATTTATTGTAAATATATATTTTTTCTATTCACAGTCAAAAATTATTTCTCTTCAGGCACTATACTGTAATGGTGGTGGGTGGAAAAAATATATAATATTTTCCAGATAATAAAAATAAAAATATTTTCCAGATAATATTTCACACACATTTATAATTGTAATCCTAATATATATATATATATATATATATATATACTACCATTCAAAAGTTAGATTTACAATTTAGATTTTTTTGTACAATTGTACAAAATTCTAAATAAATGGTACAATTTAGATGTAAAAAATTGTACAATTTAGATGTACAATTTAGATTTTTTTTTCTTCTCAAAATAGTGGTAAAATATTTTTTATGTTTTTTGAAGAAGTCTATTATGTCCACCAAGGCTTCCTTTATTTGATAAAAAAAAATAAACCGTAATATTGTGAAATATTATAACAATTTAAAAGAACAGCTTTCTTTGAATATATGTAATTTATTCCTGTGATGCAAAGCTGAATTTTCAGCATCATTACTGCAGTCTTCAGTGTCACATGATCCTTCAGAAATCATTCGGATATGCTGATTTGCCGAAACAATAATTATTATAATGTTGAAAACAATTGTGCTGATTAATATTTTTTGTGGAAACTTTTATCATAAAAATGTCTTCATTTGATCAGTTTAAAAAAAGTTCACTTTAAAAAAAAAAAAAAACTTTTGCTGATAATTTACTCACCCCCATGTCATTCAAGATGTCCACGTATTTCTTTCTTCAGTCGAAAAGAAATTATTGTTTTTGATGAAAACGGAATATGAACGAATCTTTTTTCGAGTCATCTCGTGACTCGGAAAAATATTTGTTCATTTTGATGAACGAGTTCGAACAGGAGAGTCACGAACGCGCATCACAGAACAGAGCAAGGCGAGCATTTGAGCTTATAAAACTTAAACTTTTTTATTTATTTTTTAAATGACCGATCGTTTCGCTAGATAAGACACTTATTCATCATTTGGTGTCGTTTAAAGCCTTTTGAAGCTGCACTGAAACTGTCATTTGGACCTTGAAATGGTTGTCAAAAACCTTAATTTCTTTTTGACTGAAGAAAGATTGCCATCTTGGATGACATGGGGGTGAGTAAATTATAAGCAAAAGTTTTTTTTTTTTTTTTTTTAAAGGAATTAACTATTCCTTTAATGCATCCTTGTTAAATAAAAGTGTTCATTTCTTATTTACTTTCCTTTAAAAAATCTTAATGACCCCAATCCTATGAATGATAATAAATAGCAGGTTTAGGAAGAGGGTCCCTCCCAGCAAATCATTATATTTGGAGGTCTGTGGCTTCAAAAGGTTTGAAAACCCCTGACTTACAGTACAAAACTGTGAGGTCTACATCCTTAGGAGTGTAGTTTCTGTCATCATTTACGTTTTTATTCTAGATGCCTCATGTGTTCTCTTCCCAGGAACTTCTACTACATCACGCTGCTGCGGGACCCCGTGTCGCGTTACCTGAGCGAGTGGAAGCACGTGCAGCGCGGAGCAACGTGGAAGACGGCGCTTCACATGTGCGACGGGCGTCCTGCCACCCCAGACGAGCTGCCGTCCTGCTACAGCAGCGAGGACTGGACCGGCGTGTCCCTCGAGGAGTTCATGGTCTGCCCCTCAAACCTGGCCAACAACCGGCAGACTCGTATGCTGGCCGATCTCAGCCTGGTGGGCTGCTACAATCTGTCCTCCATGAGCGAAGAACGGCGCGCCGAACTGCTCCTCAGCAGCGCCAAGCGCAACCTGCGGCGAATGGCCTTTTTCGGCCTGACTGAGTTCCAGCGCAAAACGCAGTTCCTTTTTGAGAGGATGTTCGGCTTGCACTTCATCGCCGCCTTCACTCAGATTAACGGGACCCGGGCGGCCGGGGTCACGGTGGGGACGTCCACCCGGAGGCGCATAGAGGAGCTCAATGCGCTAGACGTGCAGCTGTACGAGTACGCCAGGGAGCTTTTCTCACGCCGCGTGCAGTACTGCCACCATCAGGAGCGGCAGGAGGAGAGGGAGAGGAAACGAGAGCAGCGCAGGAGAATGAAGCAACAGAAAACCTCACAGATTCAGCAACAGGAGGACGGCGAACGAAAGGATGCAGAGGAGGAGATGGAGTTAGCTGGGGTGACGGAGGACTACAGCAGTCAGGTGGTGAGGTGGTGATGCCTTGCTCTCTGGTTATGTTCAGAATAACACTACTCTTAGCATGTCTGCAGTATAATATACTGCTTACTACCAGAGCCCGTCTAACGGAGAGCCTTGGCACTTCCTATTAGCCCCATTGTGTATCATCTTGGTTGCAGTTCCATTAGAATTCCACTGGGGGTGATCACGGGCGAGAGCAGAATGAATGGGAGTCTATGGCTAAACGGCTAAATGTGTCTCTTTCACCTGCTTGTCGTTAAATCAACATAGATTTTATTGTTGATTCCGCGAGTTCAATATAGATTATAGGCCAAAAGTCGAATGAAGGAGTACTTATGTCCTTTTAATTTCTTACAGGTTAGGCCGTTGTTGGCCGGAACACGCTAGCATTGTGCTATTGTGTGACGTCATCACATTCTTGAACAAATTTTTAGAACAGATAAGTGAACTTAAAAATGCAATTTTCAGCTGAGTGTATTTTCTTAGCCCCCCCTTTTGAATGCAACTTTCAAATTACTTGACAAAAAATTACATCCTGAGAAAAGTGGATTTCTGGGGGTGAAACGCCATTGACTCCCATTCATTCTGCACTCGACCGCGAGCGCCCCCGCATGGACAGAGACGCGTTACTGCAGCCAGTCCAGAACCCGGAAGTAACCAGTGCCAATTCTCTTCAATTAGACTACTCTGTTACTACTACATTTCTCAAAGGCTCTGTTTACACCTGGTATTAAGATGCTTTTTGGTCAATCGGATCACAAGTAAACGAGGGGGACATATTCCTGTTTACACCTGGTGTTTTAATCCGCCTCTTTTTTCCACTTTCAACTACTCCTGACCTGATTTCTTCGAGGGGAGAGTCTATAGGCAGGTAAATGTATGGGTTTTTTTTCCCAGATCTTTCAATCTAATGGACGAAATAAACTCAATTTACATTTTTTTACATTTAAAAGCACAATTTACATTTGAACACCTCCGGAGATGACGGAAAAATATACAAAGAGTAGCAGCTTTCGTTTCCGCTCTGACAGCCGCAAGATGACGCCGAACGCTGTGAGTGTTTGTTAGAAATCAGGAATGGCGAGAGAACATTGTGCTTGGTACGTTTTTCATCTTCAAACCAAACTTGAGTCTTCAGCCGACAAAGTTTAAATCCCGTCTGGCTAGAGCACTTCCCATAATGTTAACGCGTAACGGAGAGTAGACGTTTTTTTGAACGCATTCGACCACATTAATGTTTACACTACGAAAGCAATCCGTTCTAATGCGTTTTCGACTCTGGAAGTGGTCGAAAGTGGACAAGCTCAAAGTGATTCAGACCCTGTTTACACCTTAATTTTGTGTCGTCCACTTGTGATCCGATCAACCAAAACACATCAGGGCCAAAATGTGCATTCAAAATAGATGTCGTTCATGAAACAAAACCCGACATAAAGAGAAAACTCAACACAGCATCAAATTTGTAAATTGTATGAAAGCAAACAAAAATGTTTACATTTAATATAGCTGCAAAACCAACAATATGCACAATTATTCCTTCGAATAATTAGTTTATTCCTCCGAGAAACTTTGCGTTCACTCAAAAAGAAAACAAAAGTCGTTTGAGCTTTACTTGTACAGCATATTGCGCAGTATTCATTTAGCAATAAGCTAGTATTCTATTCTGAACATAACCTCTGTCTGTTTCCATTCATCTTCATCCTCTCCAACAGGTCTCCTCCTCCTCCTCCTCTTGTGTCTGATGGTCAGTGAACCCATTTAAGAACATCACAGAACTTTACCAGCAATTGTAATGTTTTAATCCATTCTGATGAAATTGGGAACTTGTTTCACCTTACAGTTTATTGTCATCACAATATGGTGGACTTATTAGAAAAACTGACTATAATAGCCAATGAAGTGACCTAAAAGGAGCAACATCTGAATGTTATTTGACTGAAAACCATTTTGCAATACCAATGTTTTTCTGGTTTGGGAAAATGTTAAAATAAGGGACATGTATGTGTACAGTGGACACGCGTCCAAAAGTTTGATTGACCAGTATGTCTACTTGAATCTTTTTGTGTTTGCCTGTTTTACTCAGTTTGTAAAGGATGTGAGATTGTTGGATTATACAAATGAAAAAAAAAAAAAAAATAGAATGAGAATGATGTTTGCATGGTCACAACTAAATTGATTTGTTTTACAAGTGTACTTATTGAGTCAAATAAAGAAGTATTACATATCTGAAAATAATTATCATCTGTTCATTTAGCTCAAAACATGATTTCATCAAAAGCAGATCTTTTCCATACAGTTAAAATGTATAATTGTTTATAAGAAAAATGACATTGTTACATCTTGGCTTTGGCTACTCTTTAGTCCTTAAAATGGTGCATATTTACAGTACATATATGAATAATCATTTGAAGCATGTTGTATGTTTTACTCACAGCAAGAACAGCCTATATTTGACTAAAATTCCAGAATTGTCAGCAAGCTGATGAATGTTTATTCGCCAGAGAAGCGCACAGCCATCTTTACAATTTTCTGTTAGAACTTTTGAAAAGTGGATTTACTTATTGTAGAGTTAACAAAAGTTATCATGAGCACTATAATATTTGATGCTGATGTCAGGACAAATAATTTTTGCAAGATGTAAACAACACTGGTCCAGAAGCACTTCCTGTTTCAGTTTTTTAACACTACATAAAAGCTGGGATAAAATACAACCAACAGAACATATAAAACTGAATCAAAAAGTTAGACAAACATCTTTAAGATGTTTTCTTTACATGTGAAATAAAGAAAACAGTTACAAACTGAAACAGGAAGTGTTTCTGGACTGTTGTTCACATCTTGCAAAATGGTCTATAATAGGATTTTTCCAATAAATGGCCGCCACACCTGAGTCTCTTCACAAGATGGCCGCCATGCCAGAGGAAACCCGCCGGCCTCAGCACTGTCTGCCCTGGAGGTTGTTCCCATGTCTTCTGTGCTCCCTGTTGATGGCGGCAGCCATTTTGTGTGTTTGGGCTGGACACACCTCGCCTGTTTCTCCCGAGGCAGTGGTGGCATTTTCTTCTGAACTTTCTGTGTCCCCTGATGGCTTGGCTATAACCTCGGAGGCTGTCTCTAAACTTCCTGCCATGGTGGTCATCCTTGAATGGCCTGTCTGCCCTCCATGAAAAGACCACGAATGTCGTCTGTGAAATTCTTGTCTGCCATGATACAAATAAAGAGGTCACCCTGGCCCGGAACTCTTTGCCTGCCCAGATACAACCATGTAGGTCGCTACCTAACTCCCTGACTGTTCTGTCTTGAGTTCCCTAGTCTCACCGACTCCCCTAAAGCAGTCTTCAGTCCCATCCGCACCTCTGTGGTGGTCACCAGTCCCATCTGATCTGCCGTGTGTTGATATCAACAATGACGTCATCACTTGCAGAAATACATATAAAGATCAAGAATTAACCACCTGACCAGCCTGCTCTGTCCTGGCTACCTGCAATACTTCTACCTCCAGTCCATGGACCAGAACTTCCATTCCGCTCTCAGGTCGACATATACTCCACCTTCCTCGTGGACTGTTTTGGGGTGTTTTGAGTAGTCAAGTCAGGTCAAATCACATTTATTTAGCAGCTTTACAGAGGTAACAAGAAAATATGTCAACAACAAGAAAATTTGCTATGCAAATAGGGCTATGCCGTGATCCTGGTCTCTACCCAGACAGCAAACTGACATTGAATCAACGTGGAAACGACGTCTCTCATGACATTGAAACAACGTTGATTTTGCTCATCGAATTAACTTTGAACCAACGTCAGACGCGGCATTCTTCAAAGCTAAATGAAAATCGAAAATTGGTTTGCTTTCATAACGTTGAAACAACGCGTTGATTTCAAGTTGATTTTCCGTTAGTTTTGAAAGAATGACGCGTCTGACGTTGGTTCAACGTTAATTCGATGAGCAAAACAATGTCAGATCAACGTTGTTTCGATGTCATATTTCCACGTTGATTCAATGTCAGTTTGCTATCTGGGTACTCCCATGTCTTGGTTTTGTGTTTATGGATGCTTGATTTGAAGTGTGTTCTGTTCCCCATTGTTTCTGTGTTTACTTCCGGGTTCAGTGTTTGTTGCCATAGTTGCCCTCATTGGTTGTCATAGTGACTAATCAGCTTTAGGTGTGCCTTGTTAACCTGTTGTTATCCTGTGTATATATTCCCCTGTGTTTCAGGCTTGGTTTGTCAGTTGTTGTCTTTGCATGTAGTGTGAAGCTGTTGCGCTCTTCCTCTGTTGTCTGTTTCATGTTTATGGTTTTACTCTCAGTATGGATTATCTTTTGGTTTTGAATAAAAATTGCTGAAACTAGATTCTCACCTCACTTCATCCCAGCCCAAACGTAACAGAAATAACGAGTTAGTTGTGTGTGTGGACAGACAGAGGGTCTGGGCATGCAGAAATATGTCTCTGGCGAGCTGTATGTGGTCATGCACAGAAGCTGTTGTGAGCTTCCGGACTCACAGCCCTAATCTCCTGAAACCTTCAGAAATGGGCTCCCAAAATAGAAGGCAGAAGCGAGCTCTGAAACAAAATTAAGGCTGATGAAAGGAAAATTAAATTCTGAATGAGGAATTCCAACAGCTCTGTCAATTCGGCAGCAGTGTGTGACATCTTTACTGATACACTACATAGTGGAAAATACTGGAATAGCCAAAGCTTAATTGAAAGGAGTCTTCACATACTTTTAAGTTTATGAAGAAAAATGCTTTTGAAAGAAGTCTCATGTCTGCATTTAAAAAAAAAAACATGATACACAGAAAAATCCCCAGTGTTAATTAACACTGCTCAGTGTGTATGAGTCCACACTCAGAGTGTTATAACACTGCATCAATGTTAAAGTTAATTAGATAATTAAGTGATTAATTGATTGATTGAGTGAACATAATTGAAGATATCTTCTATTAACAAGCAGAATCACTGAGAAAATCGTAACTGGTTTGTTACCATTATGGTGATCAGTGTTTGCTTCAGTCGGGCTGTTGACTCTTAAATCTTAATAAATGAACTCTTAAATTAAAAAGTGATCTGATGGTGTTGTTTGTGTTTTAATATGATAATTATTTCACAATCATTTGTCTTGAATCACTGAACTCGTAGAGAGACAAATTTCTGAATTAGATTTACTTAAATAATTATAGCATCACTGTCCTTGAAAAGCAAGACATTTGTAACTTTTACAATATAATCCAAACAATTTCTTAAAAGTTGTTCAAATACAAATATAGAGTTTTTTTTACGCATAGAGATTAAGAATCAGCCTGTGAATCTCAACAATGGTGACAATTATAAAGCATGTTGCAGTGCATTCTGGGTGCAACCAATCAAAACTCATTCATGGCTCCCATCATGTATTGCTGCATGAATAAATAATGAGCTTATATTCAGAGGTGATCTGTTTGTCACCATTGTTGAGATTCATACGATAACTCTTGATGTCAGTATGTGTCTACCTGAAATACTTTTTTAAGGTTTTTTTTGTAATTGATTTGATCATTTGGATTTTATTGAAAATGTTAAAATGGCATGCTCTACGAGGACAGTGCTGCTATAATCCATTATGTAAACTTAACTAAGAAATTATGCTCTCGTGAGTCAGGCCAACTAATGATTATGTTAAAACACAACCAACACCATCAGATCACATTTTCTATTTGTTCATCTGGCTGTTAACTCATGTACAGCAGTAACTGAATTACAACAGCCAAACACAATCAAAAGTTAAAAAAGTAAGGGTCAAGAGCCCAACTAAACTAAGCACCAATCACCATAATGGTAACTATTTTACATACATTTTCTCCTTCAGTGATTCTGCTTGTTATCAGGTGTCTTCAAAAATGTTCAATCATAACTCAATTAACTCATTACTCAATCACTTAATTATCTCATTAACTTCAACACTTAATTATCTCATTAAAAATTAAACTTTTTTGCTTATAGAAATATCTGTTTTCTATTTGAATATACTTTAAAATATATAAAGCAGCTGCTTTGCTGCTTATGATTATCAACATTGAAAACTGTGGCTTAATATTTTTGTAGAAACCGTTTTTCCAGAATTCTTTTAATGAATAGACATTTTTTAAAACAGCATTTATTTGAATCAGATTTTTTTTGGAACTGCGATAAAGTATTTGTAACTTTCGATCAAAGTAATGCAACCTTAGAGAATAGAAGTATTCATTTCTTAACCAAAAAACAAAACAAAACAAAAAACAGACCCCAAACTTTTCAGTGGAGATGTTTGTTAATTGCCTCTTTAAAAATGTCACTCAAATGCTTGCAATCTTAAAGGAACAGGACCTGGAAATTTTGTGAATCCAACTCATGGCTTTGTTCTGTGAGTCTCTAAAGGAGGTATTTTACAGAATGTTAAAGAAATAAAAAGAAAGCATGACCAGAGGCTGTTAAATAATAAAAAAAGCATGACTATATACGACTTGTGTGCTATATTGCAAGGACACTTGAGAATTGGGTGTCACTAAACTGCTTAACATGAAAGTTAGAGCAGAACATAAAATAGGTTACAGATGACATTCCTGGGGAAGTACAGTAAAAAGAGGATGTGCTCATCATGAATATGGAGGACAGAATGTGAGCCTCTCCAGTGGCGACCGCATCCCATACAGCCATTACTCACAGCCCTGTTCTCTATGTACAGCGACAGGTTCAGGTGCTCTGGGAGTTTTTGGTAAAATGCTGCAGTGACCTATTCCTACACAGAACCATCCGTTTTGAGTTTATTTAAGACTCCTGCAAAATAAAAAAGCACACTTTGCACATAATGGCCCTATGGTTTATGGTTTACCTTTTATTAACTATTACCAACCTGACTGTTTATTTCTATAGTATTTACTACATAAAAATGAGCTAAAAAAATAATTGAATATAAATACATGTAATTAAATATATATTGTTTAATAATATTTGGATAATTATTTTAGTGCTGTCAAATTGATTAATCGCGATTCATCACATCTAACATAAAAGTTCTTGTTGTGTATTTACAGTATATTATATATATATATATATATATATATATATATATATATTGTGTGTGTGTGTATTGATGTGACAGCAATGAATTGATTTGACAGCACTAGTTTTAATATATCTATATTTATATATATATATATATATATATATAAGAATATACTGTTTTAATGCATGTTTTAGGGAATAGGTGGATGGAAATTTATTTAAAAATATAAATAAAAAACATACAGAAGAAATTGATGAAAGAAATGCACTGTAATTTATCATATTTATGCATATGCATATATATCATTTATTTGTGCAAAAAAAAAAAAAAGTTTTTTGATGATAACCCTGATGATCCTGTCATTTTGCCAGAGGAGGCAGATGAGGGACAGATAAATACGATCCACCTCTGCTAGTGAGCGAACGAGGTAAAGAAAAACAACAGACAGTTCGAGACAAGTGTGTGGGAACAGCATGTCCAGGCTGTCATTCTCACACACTTTGGCATTTTCCCTTGGCAAATCTATAAATGCCATTAATGAGCCTATGGCTGTGACTTTTTGTGCAGGTGACAGGCAGCAATCTGTCCTGATGACTTATGCATTGTACCATTTGCTTCCAGCAACACCAGGTACGTATACCCTAATTAATTTTTCACATGCTCAGAAAGATGGATGCAGAAGATATCACCTTTCCTGCTACAGAAGACTAAAATAGCCAACTAATTTGCTCCCTCTGCTTTCCACGACACCAAGTGGAAAGATTGGGTGATTTTCTGTGAGTCAAAAGATGGTGAAACATCATGGAAGATTCAGAACATGACCAAAAAGTGGGAAACTTTTCTCAACATTAGGCATAGAATAGTTTTCCAATAATGTTATGCCATATATATATATATATAAAATAACCGAGTGGGACCTCGCCATTGCAACAAGTAAAAACTCTCTTAATACCTATTCAATGTACGTGGTTAGTGCAAATGTCTATTCTTGATATCAACAATTGAATAGATAATAGGAAAATGATCACTATAGTGACAGTGTTAATTTCTCATATCATGAATCTGTGATTGCTATTAAAGCCATTTTGGATATCTGAAATCTAATCATTTATACACATTTTCAGATATCAGAAACAACAACATTTACATACATTTACAGACATAAAAAATTAACATTTCAACTAGTGAAAAGAGTTTTTACAAGTGACCACGTGATTATTGACATAAAAAAATATGATTTTTACTAGTAAGAATTGTATTTCTGATATGTAAAATTGAGAATTTCAATTTGTAAGAAAATTAACTTGCGACATCAGTGATTTAATTTAAATGGCAACCTGTAATTTAACTAGTGAAAATACAATTACAGATATCAGGAATTATAGTTTTTACTAGTTGAAATTGATATTAATTAATTGATCAATTCTTGATAAAAAATAAATCATATTTCTGCGAATGATGATGTCATTGTTGATAGCCTATAGCCTAGTAGAAATCGAATTCCTGATATCAAAACTAATCATGGGAAAATTATATTGTTCATATCACAAATTCATATCCTGGGAATGAATACAAGTCGAAATGGCTTGCCATACTGGCTCAGCTCATCCAGGAACAATACGACTGTGACGCCATCTTCTGTTTGCCTTAGGCTGTTCACACTGACTGCATTGCGCTGTCTGTCCAAATTAAAATCTCAATTCATCATGGTGCCGGCCTCGCTTACTACCTCAAAAATCACTGTAGCTAATAGCTGTCAGTCCCACAGTGTGCGAACTCAGGAGAAAACCGACTCAAGCGCTCTGTGGGGAACATGTTGAGCAGAAAACCAATAACATATTGTCAGATTTATATATTGTTTGTCAGATTTAGCTTTGCATTTGTTTCTATTAATGAATTGAATTTACTGACAATTCTTACTCGGACCATCACTCTTAGATAAAGGGGTTCTATATATGTAGCATAGGGTTATTTACTTAACTGCAAAGGACCTTTTATGCAAAAAAAAAAAAAAAAAAAAAAAAATGATGACGACAAGAAAAGAACACTTTTGGTGCAAAGGTTCTTAGGCTATTATTCATATATTACATTATTCTGCAACATTTTGCAGTTGTAATTAAATTATTGTTTATTAAACTGTTGTTTAACTTAATGTCACATTTTAATCATGCTGATTTTTGAAGGATAAAAACTGAAATGGCACTCTTCGTGTGTGATATTGATTAGGCTAATTACATTTTATAACCATATCTTGAATTTTGCGCTCTTTCATGCATTGCATTTTAGGGGTTCCAAATACATAGCGCTTTAGAACCTTTTAAGGTTCTATATAGAACCTTTTCTTCTAAGAGAACTGTTAGGAACAAAAGACCTTTTAGGATAAAACGTTTCTGTCCCTTTAAAAGTCGTTGCCTCTTGAAAGACAAGCTGTCGCTGAATAAACTACTTTTAAAAGTGTAAAGTTTACAAAAAATACATCAGACCAACAGATGAAATGTTATCATGCACCACTTAAAAATGAAAGATAAAATAAAAATTTTAAAATTAAATCAACTAAAAAATAATAGCACACTGTCCTCAAGAAGTTATGAACTTACAACAACGTCAAAACACTGCTATTATTTTGTCTCATCAACTTTTGAGGGGTTTTAGAAGATTACAAAGGTCACAGCAGAGAGGTTGAGCTGCCGGAAGGTTGAGAGTGAAACCTTATAAATCATTATCGGTGAAAAACACAAATCCTTTCCTATGGGTGTTCTTCAAAGGAAAACCTTTTCACTGAGCACAGGCACACATTCAGGAGGCAGAGCGTTCGGGACTGTATCTTTTGAGATAGAAAAAGCTTGTTATGTCAACCAACCTTGCACCCGTAACTTCAGCAGTCAGCAGACAAGCGTACATCAAAGACTGCAAACACTCAATTACTGAGGAAACACTGAGAGATACAAGCACTAAATGTTCAGATATATATCCCTGAAAACAAACAGCCCAAAGTGTTTTCTGTATGTGAACCTTGAGCATTTCGACAATAATCGGGTGGGTTTTTAATGCAACCACACGAAATAATATTGTGCAAGATTCTCCCATTTGAGTTCATAGGATGAGATTCTCAGTAGCGATTAATTCAAGATGGATTAGACTGGAACACAATACACATTTTAAAAAATCTGAACAGAGACCAGAGATCATGGCTCTCAATTTGGTAGAAGACAGAAGAGGGGTTTGAAAGTTCCTCCTATTGATTCTGTAACAGTCACCAGCTGGAGTGCCCTTGAGAGCCAACAGAGGGCACTCGGCAACAGACTGTTGTCATTCGCTCACAAACTGTCAGGACTCATCAGCACTCATTGTTTTCACCTGTGTCTCTTGAACACCACCATAATGTCGTAACCAGTGGGGAGCTCGGGATTTTCTTTAAGCCCCGATCTGTACGAATTCAGTGAGAAACGCTCATTCAACGTACGTCTGTTGACGGTAAATTTTAATTGAATTTCAATGTTTACTCATTGACACTGTAAGGCTTTTTCATTTATAAAGCAAGCTCTCTGCACAAAATATGATATCATTGTAATATAAAAATTACACCTAATGAGTTCAAATTGGCTTCATAAGCTGATAAAAAAAACATAAAAAGAAAAACACACCTGATGTGCATTCTTTGTTCTTCATTTTTTTTTATTAGCTGAGTTAACAAACCTTGCTGTATTTTCGTGTATATATAATCTGTAAAAATAAGAATAATTCTATAACACTATATTAAGCGTTGTTTGATTAATGACTCACAAGACGTCACGTGTATCAACCGGAGTCGTCGTCATGGCAGCGCGCATTGTTTAGAGCAGAAAAAGGTGGATACACAGCTTGACAACAAACTCCCCAGACACAGATTGAATCACTGCTGCTAGAAACGATGCTGCTCACAGGTAAAAAGGCTTTAATTTCTTGGAAATTCAGCTGCTATTTTGTTTTTAAAGAGGAAAATGCCAATAACATGGTTGTACAATGCAAACTGTGCCTTGTTAGCAATAGTTTTTAGTGTTTACTGCTTTAAAATTCAGTGGTTTGTATGGTCGAAATTAGGAGTAGATTTTTTAGTAACGTTACCTAAAATGTCCTTTCATAATCTCTTCTCAGTCTCACTTACAGAAATGTCCGGTAACGTAGGGGAACTCCCACATGTAGATGGGAGTCAACATGCCTATTTTAAAATAAACTAGATTGTGTAGAATTTTTAAATGCTGTGTTTTTATTATTTCCTTGAAGCCTACATTTTAGTTCAAAATTAAACAAAATAATCCGTAATCCCATACTGTAGCCAGCCACTAGATGTCTGTTTAGCCTAAAAATAAATATATTCAGGGCTTTGAAATTCTTAATAAATAAAAGTTTTTTTTATATATATATCTGGCCTTGAAGTAATCCGTTACATTACTTTCATATTGTGGTACTTGGATTATGTCACTGAATACTTTTTTTATGAAGTAATTTAATGGAATACATTTTTAAAGTAACCCTCCCAAGCCTGGTCATATCTAATACTTTTGTTTGACAGAACTGGGGGTTTCAGAACTGGCAATCAACTAAAGTAAATGGTATGTGAAATGTTTTTGCTTTTATATTATTTGTAAAAGAAAAAGGCTAACAATCAGCCTAAAATATTTTCTTCCCGTCAACATTCAGCAAATGCGCATCTAACTTACATCATTTAAACAAATCTCTGAATATCTAATAAACATTTAGTTTCACAAACCTTGCAGATTTAATCAAATCCAGCTGTGGTCTCTTGTGAAGTGTGCGTTTGTAGTCACAGAAATCTCCAAGTCATCATTCTGTAGTGTTTTGTGTGTAAAACCGTAACTGTCCATGTTTAAGTCACACTGCTTATCTGCCACGAAAGTTCTGTTGACTGGTGATGTCGATGACTTGTCCCGGTGATCTGCGATGGCTGATCCCTTTATCCGGGTCACGGCACCAATTTGTAGCGGACCTCGTCTCACACCACAAAGAACTCAACGACACCACTGGCTTCGGTGGACCACGTCTGCAGTTTATTGAAAGAGGACAGAAAATCAACACACTCCTTCAGGGTTTACTCTCTCTCAGCTCGCTCTCTCTAGTCACAGGCTGTTCTCAGATCATTTTATACAATATAGTTTTGTATTACAACAATTTTATTGTATAAAATGATCTGAGAACAGCCTGTGACTAGAGAGAGCGAGCTGAGAGAGAGTAAACCCTGAAGGAGTGTGTTGATTTTCTGTCCTCTTTCAATAAACTGCAGACGTGGTCCACCGTCTGCACATCTTGTTTTATTTCATATACGCTGATTTGTCATGGGACATTTCTAGACTGTTGCTTACATTCATCTTAATGAAATATTGACTGCTGTTGTCACATTTATAAATATTAAAAACTCTATCCGCATCATAACTCACTCTAAGATACGAAGGATAAAAGTGTCCGTTTATACAGTGATGCCTTTAAGAACAGTTTAAGTAATATTTAGGCCTACTGAGGAAAATGAAAAGGTTTCTGTTAAACCAGAAGTTACCGTGTTTATCTCGTGCTCAAGTCACTCTTAATATGACATATGTTGCATATTGTGTGTGTTTGGCTGTTTGAACATATGTGAGCTGTCACATGGTTACGTAAGCGTTACAGAAGCTGAGCCACTGCCGCCCCCTTATAGAATGGGTCACGCCCCCTTATAGAGTCGCCCGCGCCATTGGATGTGCAGTTGATGCAGCCCAGTCTATGAGTGCGTCTGACGCTCAGTGTGCTGGCTGTGATTGCATAGCTGCAAATGCGTTTTACAATAAGCTTCAGTAAATGGAGGAAAAGGAGTTTCCCTCACTGCGTATAGCTACGCAATACTTCCTGAGGTTACGATAATAACTAGGGGTGTAAGAAAAAATTGTTACACTTGAGTATCGCGATATTTTATTTTGCAATACTGTATCGATTTTTCAGAAACGAAATATCAATTTTTTTTTTAATGCATAGACGCAACACTAGCCTAACGTTTTGAAACATTTAACATAACGTTTGAAACATAACGTTTTTCCAACGCCATGTTGGTAGGATTCCCACGGCAAAACAGTATTGATTACATGTGTTTTTAGCTCGGTAGTAGAGGAGTTTCTCGCAATACCGCACTGTTTTACCATGCCTGGAAGTAACTGCTGCGTTAAAAACTCCTCCGTAACTCACACGATACATATGGAAAACATAGGAACAATGGAATTAAGTTTTTGGGGTTACCAAAATTGACACAGCAGGGAGAGTCTGATCTGACGAGGAGACACGGATTGCTGGGTTTGCTGATGCCTTTAGTATACGATTTTCACTGTTTGCTGTGCCTTAACGAACATATGCAAAAGTGTTGTTTGAGTGCCTTGTTCATTACTTTTTTATTTCATTGAAATAAATGTTTGAAACAACTTGATATGGCTTAACAATATTTATTGAGAACTGAAATATATAGGCTATTTGGACAACATAATTAATACTAATAAAATAATAATACTGTTATTAGTGCAAAAGAACAAATATATTGATGCTGCTTCTCCAAATACAGCTGTTTTGCACTTTGTGTGAGTTTGTTCCTGTAAGGTCCCTTTTCTTTCGCCTTATCTTTTAGCATTGCTTTACTTTCTTCCTTTTTTTCTCGTATTTTTAGATCCGTCTCTGTCCTGCCAAAATAATAAATGCGCGAAAATTTAAGAGCTCTTGAATGTTTAGTCGCGTCTATGTTCAGGCAGCTTCATGTTGAGATTGATCATTTCAAAGCTGTATTTTATTAAATAAGGGCCAGACAATTTGATATTCCATGAAGAGAACGTTAATAATAATAATAGGTATAATATCTAATGAAATAAAAAATAAACCTAGGCCTGGTTTCACAGGCAGGGCTTGCAAGTTCATATCTTGCAGTTCTGACTACGGTATGTTCTTTCTTGTTTTTCTGTCAAAATAACAGACTTTCTGTCTTTCTCTTCCTCAAGATGGCGTCAAGTCACATTTATTTATTTAGCGCTTTTCACAAGACAGATTGTCTCAAAGCAGCTTCACAGTGATAACATGAAAGTAGTACAACACAGATCAATAATATTGTTAAATATTAAATATTAAGTAACCCCGACTAAGCAAGCCAAAAGCAAGGCGACAGTGGCAAGGAACCAAAACTCCATCAGATTGGATGGAGAAAAAACCTTGGGAGAACCCAGGCTCAGTCGGGGGCCAGTTCTCCTCTGGCTTACATTCATATTGTTTATATATAAATATTAAATATAAATATTGTTTATGTATAAAACGGCGCCATAACATATCACTGGCGTCTTGTCAGAACTCTTCAGGTTTTAGTCAGGAAGCTGCAATTACTACAAGGGAACTTGAACTCAAAGCTGCCAATGTTTAACTTGAAGCAGCTACCAGTGAGGCTGAACAAAATCTACAAACCAATTCGGTTCGATTTTTTTTTTTTTTTTTTATGCCATCGAATTGCTTTTTCATTAAAATTAATTATTAATTTCCTTTAATTAATGTATCCTGTTTTTATCTGTTATAGATTTCCAAGTCACTGCTTTCAATCACTTTGAGCAAAACAGTTTAGCAATCACTCCTGGGATAGGAAAGCATCCATCGATGGGTGCTTCAGAATCTGGGCAGAAGCTGTAGGTCATCTGGGAACTTCTCGCCAACTCTTTATGAATACTGATGTTTCGGACCATCCCGCATCACGAAGCGCCTCATGTCCAGGTTACACTCGTCTTCACTGCAGGTGTCCAGCTGTCTCTGCCGTTCCAGTGCACTACACTCAAGCTCAGCCTATGTGAATAACTACAACCAATTGTCTACATTTATCCTAATTGTAAAATGCAATGAACAAAGAATCATTCAGAGAGGTGTGATGTGTGATTGGACACCTGTGCACTGTAACCAGGGATGCTGCTCAATGTCCTGTAAGCTGGGGCGGTCGTCCGCTGCTGTTCTAAGACACCATTTTATCAACTGGCGGCAATCTGTTACATACAACACAATACTTGACATCAGTAACACAACATTAACTTCTCGATCTCTCTTTGAGAACAACTGAATATTTACTATCACTTGCCTGCAGACAGATGACTAGGGAAGCGCAGTCTGCGAATCCTATATGCGCTTTTGAAAGGTACAGAACCGCACAGGAGGTTGTAGAGAGTCACACCCAGTGACCAAACAGTAGCTGGTCCTGCACGATAGCTGTGGGAACGAAACCACTCAGGAGGGGTGTATGAAAGAGTGCCTAAGAGACCCAAAAAGAGGAAGAGATCAGCTGAAAAGGTTCCGGTTCAAAACAGAGATGATCACAAACATATCCATGTATAAGAACATTCACCTGCAAACGATTTGTACTCCGAGTCCTTCAGCAGGTGTCCACAGCCAAAATCCAGCAGCTTGAGCTCATGTGAATCGGTGGAAATTAGCAGGTTTTGTGGCTTGACGTCCCGGTGGAAAACCCCGCGGCTCTCGCAGTGTTTGAGAGCGTTGATGAGCTGGACCAGCACTTTCTTCGTCTGGCTTTCATCCAGACAGCCGTCATTCTCCTCACAGAATCTCTGCAGATCTTGGCAAGGATCCGGGCGTTCCAGGATCATGACGTAGTGGCCCGGATAGTCAAACCAGTCCAGGAGCTGCAGGACATTGGGGCAGGCAGGAGCTGAATTGACCATGATCATCAAAGCCACCTCCAGCGGCAGCAGACCCTGACCGTCCTGAAGTGGCAAAAGAGGACATGATATTATTAAATTATCGTCGGAGGGCTAAATAAATATGCATGCAAACCAATAAACTTCAAATAGCCGAATTTCAAAACTGAACTTACAACTTCTATCTTCTCGTGCTCCTCGTCTTTAAAGACGTACTTGATGGCAACCTGCACACAGATAAACAACAGTTAATGACACCTGCTAATTCATGCTCTGCCACAGTATCATGAATAAGGGGTGTTGAATCAATATCTTACTGGCAATCCATCAGAGCTGCGGGTCCCAGCATACACAGATCCAAATCCTCCTTGACCCAGCAATGGACCCTTTGTGTACTCTTCTGCAACATAAAGAATGTTACTTTAGATCAATCAGTGGATGAACATTTTCAGTGGAAATAATTCGGGTATGTTTTAAGAATAAGCCTGACCTTCCCACGAGCGTTTGGTGGGTCTCTCGAATGAAGTGGTGGGATCTTCATCCTCCGAGCTCGGCCTCTTCCTCTGACTTTGAGTCGACTCAGAAAGCAGAAGAGTGATACTGCCAGACACCTCTTCCCTCTGTGATTGGGTTGGTTTTGACAGTGGTTCCTGAATCTGGAAACCAGAGCCCAAACTCCCAAACTCCTGACCAGCCATCCATGTAAAATCAGCACTGGAGCAGCCTGAGGCAGAAAGAGCAGCAGCAGGTAAGAATCTATGTCACACAGTTTTACATTGTTCTTGTTATTTTAAACATCATTACTAGAACATCTATGACCCGAAATGGTCTGAAAGCCTGACCTTCACGCAGGCGTTTGGTGGGTCTCTCGAATGAAGTGGTGGGATCTTCATCCTCCGATCTCTTCCTCTTCCTTTGAGTCGAATGTAGAGGAGCGATATTGTCAGACACCTTTTGACTCACTTTGGTTGGTTTTGACAGTGGTTTCTGAATGTCATCACCAAAGTCTAACCTCCCAAACTCTAGACCAGCCATCTGGATAGATGGTAAAGCAGCACTGGATCTGGAGCGGCCTGAGGCTGAAAGAAGAGCAATTTAGAAATTTAAAATTTGTTCTTGTTATTTTTAACATTATAACTAAAACATGTGGCTCAAAATATTTCAGTTATTTCAAAGGTTTTTACAAATGCACCAAAACCCAGAAAGACACGCGACCAAGAAAACAAATATGACAAAAAAAATAAGATAAACATAACAAACAATTAGCTTTTTTTTCCAATGAGATTACATTTTATTGAAAGCTTGGAAAGCTTTCTTCCTCCCGCTCTTTCTCGCACAAAAATGGCAACGTACACAAACGCATTGAAACTTCCAACTGTAAAGCTACATGACAATGGCATTTCTGAGTAGCTGTTCTTTTAACGTACAGCTTCCCTATAGCAAAGCAGCTGTCAAACACGGTTGAGAGTCGCACAGGCTCAATCCATATTTCACTTTTGAGTGATTTCTTAAAAAGAAAAGGAATGGCGTTTTTTTTTTTTTTTTTCATATTATAGTAGGGGAGCGCGGGGCACAACCTAACACGGGGTTAAATGCAACACGGACCTTTAACATAGTTCGTCAGGATTAAGCAGGTTGTGTTTACAATATTTTTCTCTTGCTGCCGGGGTAAGTTGTAACACAGTGTTACAAACAAGCCGTGTACAATGATAATCAGATGAAAACAGGGAGACACAACTTTTTAGGTTTGAGTATTATTTATACATTTTAACTTTGTTGGACTTTCTCAAACAATGTTGGAATTTAAAATGTTTAAAATTTAGTTTATTATTCATTGATCACTGTTTATTTATTAAAAATATGTCCTGTTTTTAACGCAATAAACCCTTACATTTTTTATTTAAAGCTCATTTGTATTATTATTACTGTTATTGTTATTAATAATAATAATTGTACATGCAGCTGCCACACACAAATCTAATTCAATTGCAATTACAATATTTTAGGATTATATTTATTATTATTTATTGCAAAACTGTGCAGCCCTTTTCTGTCTCTATTTATGATATTGATCCACAATAGAAGGATGATTGGATGAGGGATGGATGTGTGGATATCTACCTACAGATGCACAAACAATATCAAACTATACAAATAAAATAGTACTGAATTATGTGAGTTTGTAACATTTGCACTTCTGTCACTTTCAGTACAACTGTACGAAAATGGTAGGTCCTAGAAAAACACTTTAAGTGTTGATTTGTAGCAGAGATGTGTATGTTGGTTGTGTAAAAAAAAAAAAAAAAACTTAATCTAACCTAATTATTTTTTAATTAATTGAGCCCAAACCAAAATGCGTTAGGTTGTGCCCCACTCTCCCCTAGTCCTACATGCTTATTTAGCAGGGACAATTTGAGAATTGGTTAACTTGCACACATTTGTTTGTTAGTTTAATCAAACATTCTAACAACATAATACTATAACATCTCAATAATAAACAAATGAAAAATTAAAACACTTACCTTGTCTTTCACCAATGTGAGCCATCTCAAAACAAAGACTAACGTTACTGAAAAGTTAACGTTACCCAAGAAGAAAGCTCCAACCAATAGAAACAAATAAATGAACTCTCCCTAGAAACCCTAAACTCAAACTCCTTAAAAGCCACTTTCTCCTCGCATAAACTCTGTCTCCAAATGTCTCGCTGTTAATCCGACAATGAAAAACTACGTCATAGTGCGTTCTAAAATCGCTGGCTACTATGACGTCAGCAGATAGGTATGTGAAATATATGATACGTGAAATCGCATGTCCAGGCGCATTTGTACTAATTCACACGAATTAAAGTGGTTAAATGCTATCATTGGCAAGTCCATTATATGTTCCTTATTAATCAGATCGACTCCTTAATGTTCGCTCGATGTATTGGTCATCTCTACTACTATTTATTGTTTACCCAACACGTATTTCCTTTGATTTTGGACCTTTTAAATCCAATATTTGAATTTAGATTAGCGCCATCTGTTGAGAGAAAATAAAATGAAACATGTCATTTCATGGTGTAACCACTAGATGCCTGTATAGCTCTCTATGGACATGCTTATGAATTCTCTAGTTGTTTTTGGACAAAATTACTTACTTTTTTAGATGTGGATTTGAATGTATTTTTTTGAAATTTGAATGTATTTTTTTGAATTTTTTTTCAATTTTTTTTTTGAAAGTATTTTTCAAATAATACTTTTTGCCATGGTTTATAAAAAACCATAATGGTTTATAAAAATTCTATAAAAAATATAAAATTCAATAAATTTGATGTGAAGTGTAAACGTTTTTGCATTATTTCTACAGTCAAACCTGAATACAGAGAAAGAATTTTGTCAGAGGTAACATTACGATTCAAAAAATAAATAAATAAACAGTAATGCTTTTTCACTTATTATTATTATTAAACATTAATTTATAATTTTTTAATCATATATTTAAAAATATATTTTTAATAATTTTATATATATATATATATATATAAATTAATTATATTAGGTTTTTCACCATTGATGTTTTTTCTGCATTGTGGCCGATTTGTAGAGCATGTGTTTGTCAATTTCCCATTCATATCCTACTAAGTGTGCATAAGGTGGACACTTTACTATCCCATGAGGCCAGAGAGGATTTATGAATGGCAGTGAAATGACACAACTGACGCTGGTGTGTCACATGATAATAACAGCATGGCGAATAAAGTACATCCAGATTACATTCATACTATATAGAACATACTTTTTTGTCTGTGAAGTAATTACTTATTCAGAATAAGTGCCTACTCAAGAGAGTATGTGATTTCGGATGCAGGCCATGTGTTTAGTCCCAGCATCAGTAAGCCATTGAATGTCTGTCACTGAGTTGATCATTGGTTCATCCATTGGGGTCGTCCTATATCACTGTGTGGGTTTTCAGGCTGCACCGATTCAATGCCATTATATGAACTCACAGAAATGGATTATATTCTTAAAAAATAAGATGTCATCTTATTTTCATTGGTGTCATTTACGTCAGGGATAGCATTAGGGTGAGTAATTATGAATTTTAATTTCTGAGTGAACTACCCCTTTAAGTGTTTATTAAGTGTCTTTCTCCAAGACAGTGCTCTTTTGTTGCACATTCATGACACTAATCATCAGACACCTTTACATTACTGACCAGTGACCACTGTGAGAAACAGACTTAAGAAATAAAGTGCTTTTTATTATCAAAAAGACGGGTATGATATAAAAGACAATGGGTCATTTAAATGTAAAAAAAATAATACTAAATTACAAAATATTTACACCTTAAAAAGAAATACAAAGACAGTTATATTTCAAAAGATCATAAAATAATTTCCACTTGTATATCTGGGGTATATAAAGAATAAGACTTGGTATTTTAAATATATATATATATATATATATATATATATATTCACTGTAAAAATATGTAATGTGAGCACCATGTACTTGGAATAGAAGACTAAATGTTGTGTGTAGTTTTACAATGTCAGTACTTGAAAACAGCACCACTTTACACTCATAATTGATAGTGGTATATATATTTCGGCAGATTCATGTATGTGTTCAAACATGCAGACATGAAAATATGACATCAATTGATACACATCAATATTTTAAAAGCTGACAAAGATAAATATGTAAACCATTCTAAACACAAAAAAGCAAAAGGTTACTTTTCCTTGGGTCCCCTCCATCTCAAACACATTACACATTGAACGCTCGTGTATCTTTAATAATAAGGTCACTATAGTTATAGGAGACCGGGGCTAGTTGTCACAGGCTCAGGTTTGAGTCAGACATCTAGTTGCATAAACATTTGTTCACCTTCGCTGGTTTTAAATACCTTGTTCAAAACTGTCAAATTAGGATGTTTTTTTTTTTTTTTTTTTTTTTGAATTCTGTCTCTAATCTTAACATTTTGGTAATATAAAAGTCAAACTGTTTTTAAGACATCTTTTTTGTTGGCCAAACTAGTGATTTTAAAATTGTGTTTCATTAATTACTTTGTACTTCACAATTATTTAACTGTTTGAAAAATTCTATAATATGTTATTTAAATGGCAGGTTCTCACTGTGACAACTTACCCCATGTAGTGTGATAATATGCAATAATGTTTTTTGAAGCAAGACAGAAAACAGTGAATTTGAAATTGAATTTCAGAAATAAACCTATTCTGAGGAATATTCACTGGTGCAAAAAAGTGACAACCAGCCCCAATCAGCCCTATATAGTATATCAATTAATTTTGTATTAGTTGGAAATGTGACTCTTTTGCAAGAGAGTTCTAGTTCACTTTAAAAAAAACTTTTGCTGTAAATTAAAATAACTTACTCACCCCCATGTCATCCAAGATGTCCATGTCTTTCTTTCTTCAGTCGAAAAGAAATTAAGATTTTAAAGAAAATATTGCAGAAAATCTTTTCTCAATATAATGCACTTTACTGATAACCAAACGTTTCAAGGTCCAAAAAACAGTTTCAGTGCAAACTGTTCAAACAATTGGCTTTAAACAATTCCAGACGAAGAATAAGGGTCTTATCAAGCGAAACGATCACTCGTTTAAAAAGAAAAATAACAAAGTTTAAGTTTTATAAGTTCAAATGCTCAAATTGCTCTGTTCTGTGTGAGTCTCCTGTTCGAACTCGTTCATCAAAATGAATGAATCTTTTTCGTTGAATGAACCAAATGACTCAAAAAAAGATTCATTCACTTTGATGAACGAGTTTGAACAGGAGTCACGAACGCGCATTACAGAACACAGCAAGGCGAGCATTTGAGCTTATTAAACTTTAAACTTTATTATTTTATTTTTAAATGAGCGATCGTTTCGCTTGATAAGACCCTTATTCGTCGTCTAGAATCGTTTAAAACCCTTTGAACATTTTGCACTGAAACTGTCTTTTGGACCTTGAACCGTTTGGTGCCCAGTAAAGTGCATTATATGGAGAAAAATCCTGGAATGTTTTCATTAAAAACCTTTTCTTTTTGACTGGAGAAAGAAAGACATGGACATCTTGGATGACATGGGGGTGAGTAAATTATAAGCAAAGGCTTTTTTTTAAAGTGAACTACTCCTTTAAAGAGCTTAAACTGACTTTTTTTTTAGCTTTTTCTAGGAGTTTCGTAGAAATATCATGGCACCGTGAACCTTGGAGATTTTTGGCCTCCACAATACACAGTCAGAATATGTGCTTCATCGAGAACAATACAGACCAAAATCAGATATCACCCATATGCAGATTTATTTATGCACATATTTCCTCAATTTCATCCTCGTCGTCTTCACCCTTTTCATCTTTAACGATTCCCTCATCGATGCTCTCCAGACGGACCCTCTGGCCATCTGGGTCGAGCGAGCCCCTCAAGTGAGCGGGCTGAACCGATGAAATGTTGTCAGTCAGAGACTCCGTACCGAACAGCAGAAATTTGGCATCGCACTCTATGGCTTTTGCCATACTGGATGCAAAGATGTCAATCACTTGGTGTATCTCCGCCTTCACCAGGTGCTGAGACTCATCCTTATCAACTGGAAAGCAAGGGAAATACAGAATTAGAAATAAGAAATTAGTTTTCCTGTTATCACTGTAAAGCTGCTGTATAAAGCGCTATAATAAAGTTAACTTGACTTGACTACATTATCAATTACAACTGCAAGAGTTGTTCCTGTGTGTAAACAGATGTTTGGCCCTTTTATTTGGTAGCAGGAATTAGAAATACGACTGGAAAAGGTTTAGGGTTGATGGTATTGATGTAAAATTGGATACAACTTTACACAGAAAAGCTTAGTAAGCGATTTTGTTCTCACAAAAATCATGTTAACACACATATTGTCTACGTCTTGTTTACTTGTTATACGTTTACAGATTGGCCTCGTTTACTTCCATTGTAACCGTTTTACTGTAATCCAGATTTTTCCTTTTTTTTAAGAAAAAGAGGAATGTATGTAAATGTATTTGTCGCCGTAATGCATTACATTACAAGTAATGTGAGTTATGTAATTGAATTACTTTTTTCAAGTATCAAGTAATGCATTACTTTTAAATTTACAACAAAAATATCAGAGTATATAAGCGCTCTTAAACTATTTAGAATAGAATCATCATTTGGATCATAATAGAAAAATTATGCAGAAGGTAAATTATCAGAAAGTATCCCATTTTACCAGTTATTACACTATGTGAATACAAATGCACTCTACATTAAATCATTTTGCAATGTCTTCTTGGATGATCCAATTCAATTACACCAATAAGCAAGACTTAACAACACATTAGTTTCCACAAAAAATGGCCCATTTTACATTAGTAACGGTACGTTGGCTTTCAGGAGCTGTGAAGCTTTGTGAAATTCTGTCCTTTTAATCACTTCCTAACAAGAGGTAGTTAACTATATACCTTTAGCCTGCTGTTCCACTTGGTCCTCAAACATTACTGAACTCCTGTGCTTGTTGAATAAAGCACTGCAGTGTGAGCTTTCTGCTTCCTCAGAACAGTTATCCAGCAACATGATATCTGTACCTGCAGAGTAACAGTTACAAAACACTTTAGGAAACAATAAATGAGTTTATTGACTTCATTTAAATTAATACTTTCATTCAGCAAGGATGCATTTAATTGATCAAAAGTGACTGAAAAGACATTTATAATATTAAGCAAAATGTTTTATTCTGTATATTTATTTAAATAAATGCAGCCTTGGTGACCATAAGAGACTTATTTTGAACGGGTGTGCAAATATAAAATTTGATCTACACACACCTGAGTCCTGGGAAAAACTGAAGCCAGTGTCTCCTGTGCTACTACCGGCACCTAAAAGCTGGCCTCCACCAGCCAACATGGCCGTCAGGTGTGGAGACATGCCGAGATCTGCAACAGAAAGATGAACATTAAAGGCAGGACACGGTATTATTTGGAACGGTTTAGTAAATGGCGACAGATTTGTATTTATTTATTTTCAGAGTGTACAATTCATTTAGGGCAGTGGGTCTCAACCAGGAGGCCGGGGCAAAGTAGGGGGCCTCGGGGATGACTTAAAAGTATTTATATTAATTATATATATATATATATATATATATATATATATATAATCTGATCTAAATTAAAATTCAAGAACTCACATAACTGAAATAATTTCGAGAAAATTAGGATTTTTATATTTAAAGAGGTGGAGATAGATGATGGATGGATGGATGGATAGATATATAGATGGATGGATATATGGATGGATGGATATATGGATGGATGGATGGGTGGGTGGGTGGATGGATGGATGGATGGATATATGGATGGATGGATGGATGGATGGGTGGGTGGATGGATGGGTGGATGAATGGATAGATATATGGATGGATGGATATATGGATGGATGGATGGGTGGGTGGATGGATGGGGGAATGGATGGATATATGGATGATGGATGGATAGATGGATATATGGATGGATAGATGGATGAATGGATGGATGAATATATGGATGGGTGGATGGATATATGAATGGATGGATGGGTGGATGGATGGATGGATGGATGGATATATGGATGGATGGGTGGATGAATGGATAGATAGATGGATATATGGATGGATAGATGGATGGATAGATAGATGAATATATGGATGGATAGATGGATGGATGGGTGGATAGATAGATGGATATATGGATGGATGGATGGATGGATAGATAGATGACTTTTTAGTTACAACATTCACCTGTGATTCGGTTGGAGATGCTAAAGAGGCGTGACTTCCTGTGGCGACTAATGAATGATTCCCGGTAGTGGCGGTCCCCACAGCACATGCCAAGCAGCTCTTTCCTTACAGTTTTATTCCACAGCCCGTAAATGAGAGGATGACAGGCAGCACTGACAAAGGACAGCCAAGTCACCATCGTTTCCAGTCCAGGAGACACACTTCCTCGCCCCCAAACCGCCTCGGTGCAGATCACCACCACATACGGCCCCCATGTCATCAAGAAGGTGCCGACCACCACCAAAATGGTGACCAGTGCTTTACACTGACTCCCAGCGTAGATCAAACCTCTACGACTCCCGACGGAAGAAACCGAGGCGGTGGAGTTTTTTCGTCCGTTCCTGTTGGAGGACGCGGGTACTTCAACAACCACAATCGTCCCACAGTGCACCTTGCGAGCTTTGTGCCGTGCCACACGAAAGATGAAGCCATAGCACACCAGCATGGCAAACAGTGGAATCAGGCAGCACCACACAACCCAGAATGCAGTGTAGCTGACTTCACGATACCAGGCCACAGTGCATGTCTTCTTGAAATTGTCAAACTCAAACGTGGACCAGCCGAACAGAGGAGGCAGGCAGCCCACCAGAGAATGAAGCCACAGGTAGACAATGGCCACTGCTGCACGATTCCCTGTGATCTTGATAGGGTAAACCATCGGAAACAGCACAGCATAGTACCTGAAAGAACACAAAGTGTTAGTCTAGTTTTAGCTGACCTTAAAGGAACAGTTAATTACATCAATAACATCACACAGTTTTGGCTTTTGCAATGGTTGTCGAGTTTAATTGTTGTCAAACCTGATGTCATACAAAGCTCAACCCCATGCATTTATTGCAGCAACCAGAACGTGACACTGTTTCAGTATTAAAAAAGCATTAAAGATGCTATACATATTGACTAAAAATCATGTTTTCTAATGTTTTGTCAGTATACACACATATCAAGCAAGAGTATCATTTGTACCCCCTCAACAAGATACATATTTTAACATCTCCTGATTCTAAAAAGATTTCATGTAAAACAAAAGGTTGGTTTCGTGTAAAACAACAAAAAGTTGTTGGATAGTGTTTGGCTCATGTTGAGTGTCAAAGATGAGTTTGCAATGCATGATTAAAATAAATGAACTTCATAATATTCCTTACCTGTCAATGGCGATGGCTCCCAACGTGAGCATGCTGGCAGAGCTGATGAGCAGATATAACAGTGCCGTGAAGTTGCACCATACAACTCCGAACAGCCATTCTCCATTAAGAGAGCTGGCAACGACAAATGGCAGCACCAGTATAGACAACAGCAGGTTAGAAAGCGTCAGGCTGAAGACAAACTTGTTGCTTGGCGTTAAGAGGTAGGGCTTCCGATAAAGGGTCAACACAACAAGTAAATTACCCAGACAGACAAACAAGGCAATGGCTAATATGACAACAGACTCCACGATCCGGGCCCAGCTGTCTCCCACGTCTGTGCCGTTTCCCGGTAAGGTTTCATTGCAGCTGGTGTTCATGATGAGCACGCTACGTCATCCAAATGCAGACCAAGGATATGTTTGCAGGGATCCATAGATCCATCGCTTGATCATCTCACCAAGATGTCTTAGAAAGCAAAAAAGAAATTAACAGTTGATTATGATTGTTAAAGAAAATGTTCATCCAAAAATGAAAGTGAACTTTCTCATGCCATAAAAAAATCATTTTGAGTGGAGGAACACACAACGAGTTATTTTGCAGAATGTCTAAGTTACTCCCGTCTACAATATTAAAGTAAAGTAAAGTAAAGTTTTTTTTACAAAACCACTATAAATTATGATCTTATGCAATATATACCAAGTAAGGCTGCAACAAATATAGGATAAAATCGATAATAAACAATAATGAAAATAATTTACAGTGAATTTGATTTCTAATTAATTGTGACTGTGTGTTGTGCATGGAAAACATATACCAGTCACGTCACTTTACAGTTTTGAACAATCCATTTTTAATGGCAAAACATATTTCCATTTTGTATAAAGGATCGTCCTGAGTCTGACAGCAAGAGGGCCTTTGTTAAACTTCACAGACTTCATTGAAGAGGCAATAGAAAGGGAGCACGATAATTATCAGGAAAATATAGGCCGTAAAATATATGTTAGAAGCTAAATGTATGTTTAAAATGTATTGTTAGGAGATTTATGAGTTTAAATGCAAAATAATTCATTCAAATGAGTAAATGTTGTCTTTGCTTTTGTCTTTATTGCTGTGGGCAAGTTTTAGAACGTAATGTTGAGCACTTTTTTTTGCTTGTAATATATAGCATAGTGTTTACTTTATTTTTTATTTTTTTCAAAGCCTTCAATTTATCCGTCTCCATTCCGGACAAGAGAAGCTTGGACATTCTGCTAAATATTGCAGAAAAAAATGATTCCAGATTTGGAACAACATGAGGGCAAATATATTCATTGTGCTGTGAACTATTCTTTAATTTTACATACATAACTGCTAAATCAAGTGCAAATGTTAAGTGCTAAGGTACAGCACAGCACTCTATTATTATTACAGCTGAACATAGACCAGATGGCAAAAGGCAATAAAGCGTTTACCCAGCATAAATCCTCTTGTTATCACACATAGCTACGTTGTTCCATGCAATAAATCGTACCAAGTGAATTTTACTTTTAAATCATATGAATACAACTATAGAAGTGGAGTTTGATGTGACCTATAACGTTATAACTGATATATTAAACTCCAAACTGTAAACCAACAACAAAAAAACTTTAGTATAGTTTTGTTTAGCACTGAGAATGATCAAATAATTTGTCAGATTTAATCAACACAGCATAGAGTAACAAATATCTAACAATTCTAACTGAACAAAGAACACTATTTAAACGCAACTTCCAATGTTAATAGGAAAAAGTTTACCTCGAAGAGGTGTTAGTTTATTGACAAGTACTGGCTAACTCACCTAGCTGCTTTAGCTGGTATTAAATCTCGCTTTAAAGTAGATGCGTGACTTTATTTACAGTTCGCGGCTGATGAGATTCCCAGAAACTAGCACCACAATGGCGGCGAGTGTCTCCCCGTCTCTCTCAGGCTGTGTGTGGGTCTGTGTGTGGTCTGTCTTACGTTGGTCTCTCTGTCTACACAAGTAAGAAGCTCTGCTGCAACTCAGACACTTTAAAATCTAATGTATCACCGACACTTACGATTAGATATCATTCATTGGTTATGTGATACACATAAATAGTTTGACAAAATGTGTTCATATAGCACACGTCCCCGTAACAAGACAGAGTGGGGAGGGTTTAGATAATGCAGACATAAAAATAGTAGTGAGGGTTTAATTTTTATTTTTCAATACTGTATTATTTCAGTTCTTCTGGAATTCACTTTTGGACCACCAAAGAAGATTAAAGATTCCCGCATGTGACGTTCCCAGGTACACGTGACTACAAGTGGCCAATAAACGATTCGGTTCTGGTCTCTGTAATCACAATCATAACGAAATCGAAATACTTTCCACGTCGACAAGTCAATAAAGATAAAAAAATACAAACAACATATTTGTACAAAGGTTACTGGGTTCATAATGTAAGACGGAATTAATCATCATTCAAAATATCATCACTTGTTGTGTAAAAAATATAATTGTTTTTGTAATGAATGACCTCATTATTAATAGAAGATTGTTTATTCACAACATGCAATGGCCGAAGAACAAACTTGATTATTTGTAAATAAATTAGATGACTGTAAAATTGTGAGGGGAGAACTGAGAACTTGCATTTTGATCAGCTTTCTTCTTCTCAAAGGATTGATTCTATTAGCATGATATAAAAATCCACAAAACATGTATTAAAATCAAATGTATAAAACGGGCTTCTAGATGCTTTGCTTGGTCAAGAATGGGCGTGTCGTGTAATATCGCGATATTTGAGATGCGGAAGTGATTGTCAGATGATTTAGGTCATGTGGTGTAGCACGATTAAACGTTCTCTAAACAGACTCTGTGTGTGGTGAAGTCAAGTATAATTCATTCGAATCTCTAAGCGAATTCATCTTTTTTGGAGACTTTTTCTTCAAACATGCAGAACGTCATAAACTCGGTGAAAGGAACAGCTTTGGGAGTGGCAGAGTTTTTAACGCCAGTTTTGAAGGTAAGACGAGAAGTGTTAGCATGATTTTCAGTGTGTATCCAGCAGCTGCAGCATTAAATATGAGGTTTAATGTGTGAGGAATTCGAGCTTGGAACAGAAATTACTGATCCGATCAAATGCTATGATGATGTCAGTTGAGATCATACTACTGGTACCAACAGGCAAGAAAACATGCAACCTGTCAGATGGCCCAAAGTTCAGTAGACGCCACTGCTGGCTCAAAACACACTTCATTTAGGAAAAATAATAACCAGGTAGAGGTTTGAATTGCCTGGAATGCAAAAATGTGTTGTAGTTTAGGCCATAGGCATCTCATGTTTCCTTTGTGGAGTGATGCAGGATGCCACATCAGTTAATTTGTCTAATGTACAACACTGTAAATTCATAATCGATGTTAAATTATATCACATTACATATGCTATATATATATAGCATGCATGAACTGATCAAATGTTTAGACTGAATGCAATGTAAGTCGTTTTGGATAAAAGTGTCTTCAAAATGTGTAAATGTTTTGTTACAATTTAACTCAATGACCACAGGAGCCATTCCACCGAAAGGGTGACATTTCTGTCCCCAGGACATTATATGTATAAAATTGCATGAAAATGAACTCTAAAATACATTTTATTATTAAGCAAAATGTCATGCACATTTAGCTAACTACAAATTGAAAACATATAATTAAAAACATTAACAAAAACGACACAGAACACTAAAAAATAGCATTTTCTGCATGTCCCAACTCTCAATCTCTAAACTTTACCATGAAATATTATGATTAAAATCCTTCAGAAATCTGATTTTTCTTGCATTGTTGTGTGACTTTATATCCAAACTGCTATAAAATGAAAAAAGAAAAAAACATTTGATCTAATATTTTAGATAAAATACACATTTTAGTCATGTCCCCAGGTTTTCACTCAGTCCTGTTACACTATTACATTCCCCCGCTGAATAACATAGAATATTCCACAAGACATATTTTCAACAGTAAGTTTCATCATCTGGATCTTCTGAAGGCAATGGGCCGACTATAAGTCACTCCTCTCATTTTCATTTCTGTATATTTGATGAAATTGTAACTATGAATGAGAAGGTCAATCTCAACATACATTCCTGTTACCTAAATGTTTTCTTAGATTTAATTGTTTTATTTTAAAAATATTAACTTTTGGTAAGGCACTAGAAATGGCTCAGTGTCCTCACGCTATTAGCATCACTGCTATGTGGCCATATGCCATATATTTGATAACTTTTTGCTTAAAAACTCAATCCTGTTACCTTCAGTACTGTTACTAATTGTTTCTTTTTCTAAAAAAAATAAAATGAAACCACTATTTTTATCATTTTTGTTTGGCCCATAATTTATACAATTATTTAATGAATTAATTCTAAAAAAAATTATAAGCTTGAGGCTTCGGCCATCTTTGAAATGAAAAAATGCCTTTGTGTTTTTTATATCAAAATACACCTTGCTTTAATAGTGATTTTATTGGCAAAAATATCAATTTTTTTGAATATATAACCAACAATTTATTTAAAATAAACACTTTCTTGTGGGGAAAACAAAGGAATTAATTGACATGCTTCTAAACTTGCTTTTTAAATGACACATGGTTTTTGGTATCAGGATTGAGAAAACATTCGTCCATATTCTGCTTAAACCTTGTAAAATAATAAATAAAGTTGCACGAGATTGACCAATACAAATTTAGAATAGTTAAATATGTGTAGTATTAGATTCAATGTTAAAAAAGATCAAAAATAAAGTTTATTTTTGAAGAGTTACAACAAGCAAATGTCACCCATTCGGTGGAATGGCCCACATACATGTTTGCTGGAAACAGTGACGAACTGTACAGTGCAAAACAATTTGTGAACCACAAGATAGCCAACTATATACAGGGGTTGGACAATGAAACTATTCATTATTATATGGCAAGAATTTACGAAATATTGATGATATTTGATATGGCAAGAATTTCACACCCAGGCCATCTTTATTTTTCAAACCCTTATTTTTTTTTTTTATTTATATCATGTTTTTGACTTTTCCAGGAATCTAAATTTAAAGAAACTGGGGTAATAACTCCAGAGGAGGTGAGTGTGCTTTTTGATTTTGTTTTGGTGTAATATATGCAATTTATTAGGATTTACACACTGATTCAAACACAACAGGGTTTTGTGTTCTTTGCAGTTTGTTGCAGCAGGAGATCATCTGGTTCATCACTGCCCCACATGGAAATGGCAAGAACGAACACACACAAACACAAACACACATTTTTTTTACTCGACTGTCTAAATGGGGACACTCCATAGGCTTCTACTGTTTTTGTATACAGCTATAAATGTTCAAACATCATGACTACGGACCAGTAACACTGTGTTTGTTCAACATCTGATGTGTGTGGCACACACAACTGGAAACACTTTTGCAAAAGCATAGAAACGTCAAGATATCAAGCGTTTTGTTTGAGGCACTTTGAGTGATTCAAATAGATGTGTTCAATTTTACTGACAAAATACGTGAAAAAAAGTATTATTTTGTGAGCTTGGCCAACTTTTTTTGATTTTCAAGTGATCCTGTTGTATTGTTGTGTTTCCACTCGCATCTATAATGGAAAATCAGGCGAAGTAGTTTACTTAGAAGTTCGAAGGGAGTATCTGCATTTTATGCAGGTGAAAATATAGTCTTTTATATTAGTATTTTTTTTTATATCCTGTCAGTTATTGTATCGTCTCTAATTATGAGTTGACAAAACAAAACCATGATTGGTCACATTACCTGTCAGTCAGACGTCCTTTAACTTTAAGTGGGCACCCCTCGGCCAATCGCAGTGGCTGTAGAGCCCAGACTTATGTCATTAGGCAAAGGTCTGGCTTTGTCTGACTATAACCTTAACCTAACAGAAAACTTCTTTGCATTTAAAAAAAAAAAAAAAGGGTAGTTTTAGTCAGATGATTTAGCTTCTGGTTTCACAATTGTCCTGAAAGTATAGCTAAGTAAGCAGTAAGCACACTTAAAAGAGCACCAGTGAAAGGTTTGCAGCACAATCTACTCTATATTTTACACAATTTACAATAATTGTGAATGCTTGTGAATTTCAAAACTATGAAATAACACACACAATATATATATCTATATATATATATATATATATATATATATATATATAAAAGTTTGTGTTTACATAATATATGTGGATGCACTGTGTATAATTATTTTATGTATATATAAATACACACACATGCCTGTATATATTTAAGAAATATTTTCATGTATATACTGTATATAGATTTATATATAATTTATATTATATATAAATATAAATATTTTATGTATAAATAATATTTTTTTCTTAAATATACATGCATGTGTGTGTTTATATATATATATACATATATATATACACACAAAATAATTATACACAGTGCACCCACATATATTATGTAAACACAAACTTTTATTTTGGATGTGATTAATTGTGATTAATCGTTTGACAGCCCTAATATCTATATACAATATTTATGTGCGAATAATTCTTAAATATATACATGTATGCATGCATATGTATTTTTACAAAATAACCATACACAGCACACACACATATATTTTGTAAACACAAACTTTTATTTTGGATGCGATTGATCGCAATTAATGCACAGTCCTAATAAATGTGTGTGTGTGTGTGTGTGTGTGTGTGTGTATATATATATATATATATATATATATATATATATGTGTGTGTGTGTGTGTGTGTGTGTGTATGTGTATGTGTCTAGTTATGTGAAGAATATCAGATAGAAATTGTTGAAAACCACAACTTTAAGCAATTCTATGACCTTCATATGAGATATTTGTTGCTTTTTACATTGTTGAGAATCTGTATTGTTTACTTTTAGGGCTTCTGGAGAAGAAGTAAAGGTGAAGCCCTATCTGCCCAAAGACAAGCAGTTTCTATTAACCCGAAATGGTAAAAGAAGAAAACATAGTTCACTTTCTGAAATAGTTCTACATTCCCACAGTGTGCAAATGATCTGTATTGTGTTGTGTAAAGCTGATGAATGTTTTGCAAATGTCACAATATGTCTGTTTTGGGGCTCAGTTCCATGTTACAAGCGCTGTAAACAGATGGAATACTCTGATGAGCTGGAGGCCATTATAGAAGAGGATGATGGAGACGGGGGATGGGTGGATACCTATCATAACTCTGGTACGGAACAGAAACTAGACAAACAGCAACATGTCTTTTTCATGCTTTCGTTTCTGACAGACATTCTTTTGAACTTTTTTGTATCACTAGGTGTTACAGGGGTGATGGATGCAGTTCGGGAAATTTCATTGGATAATAAGGTAAAGCAGCACTATGTTGACCACTTTAAAGGGATAATTCACCCAAAAATAAAAATTCTGTCATTAAAGAAGTAGTTCACTTTTAAAAAAACGTTTGCTGATAATCTACTTAAATTACCCCCATGTCATCCAAGATATCCATGTCTTTCTTTCTTCAGTCGAAAAGAAATTAAGGTTTTTGATGAGAACATTCCAGGATTTTTCTCCATATAATGGACTTCAATGGGAACCAAACAGTTCAAGGTCCAAAAGACAGTTTCAGTGCAAACTGCAAACTGTTCAAAAGAGCTTTAAATGATTCCAGACGATGAATAAGGGTTCAAGCGAAACGATCGCTCATTTAAAAAAGAAAAAAAAAAAAAGTTGAAGTTTTATAAGCTCAAATGGTCGCCTTGCTCTGTACTGTGGCTCTCCTGTTCGAACTCAATCATCAAAATGAACAAATCTTTTCCCGAGTCAATTTGTTCATTTCGTTCTTTGAATGAACCAAATGACACGAAAAAAGATTTGTTCGTTTTGATCAGTGTTGGTTAAGTTACTCTAAAAAAGTAATTAATTACTAGTTACTAATTACCTCTTCAACAGTGTAATTAGATTACTGTACTAATAACTCTCTCTAAAAAGTATTTAATTACTAATTAATTTCAAAATCCCATATCAATCTCAACCAGCTGAATAATACAAGGATAGACATGAATCTGTTTTAATTCTTTCAAATATATACTATAAAATGGCATGAATTATCCTTAAACTGACCAAGGTGGAGAAGGTTACATTATAAAAACATACTTTTTAACATCAGACAATACATTTTGATGTTAAACCCACCATTGTTTTATTTTACACTTTTTTTTCATACATATTTTACAATAATTCATACGAATTTGTACGAGTGCGGTCGTAATATTTAGACACCTCATAAAATGAATATGAATCGCTGTGAGATCGGATTGATCTATACACAGTATTTACCTCAATTATATCAGAAGTAACTGGAATTAAATTACAGATAAATTAAGAGTAATCCCTTACTTTACATTTTCAAGGGAAAAGTAATTAAATTACAGTAACTAATTACTTAGTAATTAGTTACACCCAACACTGATTTTGATGAACGAGTACGAACAGGAGAGTCACGAACGCCCATCACAGAACAGAGCAAGGCAAGCATTTGAGCTTATAAAACTTAAACTTTGCTATTTTCTGTCAATGGAGGGACTGAAATCTCTCAGATTTCATCTAAAAGATCTTCATTTGTGTTACGAAGATGAACGAAAGTCTTGCAGGTTTGGAACGAACGACATGAGGGGAGTAATTAATGACAGAATTTTAAGTTTTGGCTGAACTGTCCCTCTAAGAATGGAAGAAATTATGTAGGAGTAATGATCTTTTTTATGTTTTGGTTTTAAATTGTAAATAATATTTTTAATATAAGTAAATTTTTATTGTTTTGTATGCACTTAAAGGACAATATGAATATGAACGTGCAGAAAGGTGCATCTGGAAATGGTGAAGATGATGATGATGATGATGAGGAAGGAGAGCCAGCAGACATGGAAGGTAGCTCTGCATTTTTCTTTATTTTTCATCACATGCATTGTTAACTAGCATGTTTGACTTTATACCTGGTGTTTGTATTTCAGAATATGAAGAAAGTGGACTTTTGGAGACAGATGATGTAAGAAATTGTGCTCAACGCAAGCTTTTCAACATCAGAATTTTCTTTTGCAGAATTATTCATTACTATTCTTTGTTCAGGCCACTCTTGACACAAGTAAAATGGCTGACTTAAGTAAATCCAAAGCAGAGGCTGGTGGGGAAGATGCCATTCTACAGACAAGAACTTACGATCTTTACATCACATATGACAAATATTACCAGACACCAAGACTATGGCTTTTTGGATATGATGAGGTAACTTTGCTCTATGATGCTTTGACATGATGGCAACAAGCCTGTGGCTCCATCTCTCTGTAGTTCTTCCATCTTTTCCTTTTTTACTCCCATCACTTTAGTAAAACTTAGTTTGTTTACACCCTGTATGTTTTGCTCCTTCTCAGGACAGACAGCCTCTATCGGTGGATCAGATGTATGAAGACATCAGCCAGGATCACGTTAAAAAAACAGTCACCATTGAGAATCACCCTCACCTTCCCCCACCTGCCATGTGCTCTGTGCATCCGTGCAGGTCAATACAAATGTTTATCTATCATCCTGTGCTCATAACTTCTGAATGGTTTGTCCGGAAAATCATAAAAGTGGTCTTGTTAGATTCAGGGCGTCATGCCGAGTCGACTGATATCCAATTTTCCCAGATCGGCCATTTTGGCTGGCGGCCATTTTGAATTATGTGCTAAAATGCTGTATTTTTTTTGAATGCATTAATGAATTCTTATGAAACTCGGTATGGGTCATCAGTACGTTGCCCTGAAGGAGCCTGAGAAGTTTCGAAACAGCGCCACCTAGTGGTAAAATTAAATTTTCAAATGCTTATAACTCTGGCTGTGGTTGACTATTATTTTCACGGGAGTCATCTCCTTGAATTCCTGAATCCTTGCCGAGTCCAACGATACCACATATGCTGGGTTTCGTCTTACGGTTTGTGTACCGTTGAGATTTAGCGCGAAAAAAAACATTTGGCGATATCTTCGAAACCGCTAGTCCGATCGAGACGAAACCACGGCTACATGCTGATGCCCAAATGGAAAAATATTGATAGTAAGGGGTAGTAAAACTCAATCAAAGTCACGGGTCAGTTATTTTTTGTATGTGTTTTTTAACATAAATGTCTATAACTTTGAAACGAATTGAGATATTTCCACTAAAATTGGCACACAGATGTATGGGCTCACTCTGAGGACACGTAAAAAAATGTGTGACTGAGCCTCTTGGTGGCGCTATAATAGAACATAATATGCTATACTTAACAAATGCATTGGTGTAAAATTACGAAACTCAGTTTGTGCCATCAGCACCATCCCCTGAAGGTACTCAAAAGATTTCAAGACAGCGCCACCTTTTAGTCAAAGTTATAACAAAATTTCGAATAATGCTTATAACTTTTGAATAAATCTGAGTATTTTAATGCCACTGGTCTGAAGGTTTTTTTCATCGTCACCAAACGTTGACCACGATTTTGTAACTAAGTCACCTATTGGTCGAGAGTGATAATCCATTTAATCACATTTTTAGTTAATGCGTGATTTTTCAGCCATTTTGTCTAAATTCATCTTTAAATGTCTTTAATTGCTCCTTGCTGCAGTTGGTCTGACACATGTTGGCATGTCTTGTCGTCTTCTTTGTGCTTGGCCCCGGTATTGCTGCTTGCAGCTATATTTCATTCATGTTCTCTCATTTACATTCAGTGTCATGCAAACTAATTATCTGCTCTCTTGCTTTTAATGATCAGACATGCAGAGGTGATGAAAAAGATTATCGAGACTGTGGCGGAAGGAGGAGGAGAACTCGGGGTCCATATGTATCCTTTCTTATAGCTTATGTTTAAGAACATGCACTACGTATCAAAAGAATGTCTATTATACTCACTAATGCTGTATTTAATTGCACAAAAATGCAGTAAAAATAGTAATATTTTGACATTTTTCAGACTTCAGTGTCGCATGACCCTTCAGAAATCATTATAATATGCTCAAAAAACATTTTTTCTTATTACTAATGTTGCTTATTATTTTTGTGGAAACCATGATTTTCTTTTTCAAAAATGATTCAAAAGAACAACATTTATTTAAAGGTACACTTTGTAACTTTTGTCTCTCTAGCGGTTAGAAAACAAAACTGCTTGCATTTTGCTTTGAAGAATATTTACTTGGTTGTGCTTTGGCTCTGCTTGATTTGTAATTTTGAACAAAAAAATTTACATAGTGTACCTTTTAAAATAAAACTATTTTAGAATATATATATAAATATGTAAATTTTTTATCAATTAAACATATATATATATATATATATATATATATATATATGTTACTTTTTGATCAATTAAACACATTTGCTTAATAAAACGTATCTATTTTTGAATGGCAGTGTACACGTCCAGCCCACACGACCATTCAAAAAATTAAATTCTATGATTCTATGATTTCCCATATTTTAAAATAATAATTATCAGAAATATGCAGTAACAACTGTAAGAATGCAGTGGTCAAAAAATGAAAGAAATATTATTGATGATCTTCATGAGCTGCATCATGAGATGCTTATTCAACCATATTAAGTTACCATGTATGCTAGACACTTGTGACTGCATATCAAAAAAATCATGAAACATTTTATTAGCCAATTATGTTTAGTAGTGTGCTTTCAGATTTATTCTTGGTGTTCTTATTGGAATTAACTAAAGTTAATGTTGATTTATGAGTCACTTAAAAAAACACATTTCCCTTAACTTTTCATTACTTCAGGTATCTTCTGATTTTCCTGAAATTTGTGCAAGCCGTCATTCCTACAATAGAATATGATTACACAAGGCATTTCACCATGTAACTTATCGTTCACCATAATGCCCACAACTATGACAACATGTATTGTTACAATGTTACTGCGTGAAGGAAGCAGCATCATTATGAAACTCAGAGACACTGTCCTGGAAAGATGCTGGGAATGTTCTATGAAATGCCTGGAAGGGGATCTGCTGAGTCTGATGGTTAGCAACACACATTTAAATCCAGTTTTCCCTACTGTTCTACAGCTTAATCTCTGTATTAGCCACTTGCTCTTAATGCTGTCCTAAAACTAAACATGTTTTATTTTATATTTACATTTCCAAAAAAAAAAAAAAAAAAAAACACAACTGTGCGACATTTAACAAGCCATTCTTCTGGTTTGTTGGACGTGTCGATTTACGTGTCAGCTTGTCTTAACGCATTTATCTTTGAATGCTGGAATCACTGTCTTGGATACAGAGCATTGTTGTGGTAAAACATATTCACAATCCAACAGTCTGCTTCTGTAGAATTGACAAACCAGTCATTAAAAGGGGTTCTCTGTCATGATGGTCCACAGATAAACACGGAATCAGTTACAAAGGAAGTCTGTGATCTTTAAGGTAATTGTATGCATATTACATCTTTTTTAAATAGTATATACATGGTGTACTTGGGATTAAACATTATGTCTACGTTTTCTTAAATCTTTTAACTTGTCTTCTGCCCAACATATACATGCCTGGTCAAATCATCATCATTATTATTATTATTCACTAGTTTGATGTCCAAAGATCCATTTTCTAAACTGTTTGTCCAATGTAGGGTCCTACATAACCTGATCTCACCCATAGATCTCACCAAGCAAGTGCAATGTGTTTCAGGATCAACATCTTAGTTGATCCTGTAACAACATTCCAATCAACCAATCAGATTTGAGGGACAAGTTTACGTTTATTAGGATTACAACCAGAGTTGCTTCTGCATTAGTGTTATTTACCTATCATTTCCCTCTGATTTTAGCGATGATGTATATATTAAATATAATGGCAACGTCCAATCAAGTAAGAAATGCACATAAACTAAAGCATTTGTTTATAATCTTATAATCATCAACCCCGAAAAACTTTGACTTAAACATTTTACAGGAAAAAAACTTCATCTGAAAGCAAAACCTACTGCTACTTTCTTTGACAGAAAAATCAAAAGAGAAAAGATTATACAAATATTTAATATACAGATTATACAATGGTGTATAGACCAGATGTTTTTGATCTCCTCATATGTGCAAAATATATATTTCATATGCATACATTACAGGACAGGCTTCTTTTGAATGTCTCAAGAAAGATGCTGGAGAAACCATGCAACAAAAATATTTTATTTAGTTCTTCGTTTGAAACGACACGGAACTAACGTTATTCCTCCCGGAACGTTTTAATCCTCGCTTGTTTTCACGGGAACGTGCGTCAGTCGAAACGGCCCCCTTGTTGGTGAGTTGATACTGATATTTTTCACCCATTAAAATGTAAAACGCTTTCTAAAATGTATTATGTTCCTGATTCTCTATGTGGAAAAATCTATTTACGAGCTGACAGTTGTTTATAAATATCAAAGGAAAACTGCGAGACCTGTTACATTACGCTGTAGAATCGAAATGATGCCCATTCAACAATCATAGTTGGATTAAATTTATTTTTTAACAGTCCATGGATTAAACGCGTGTAAAGCAGCATCGACTTGCTTAAGGCTCATTATAAATCCTGGCACAAGTGTCACAACTTACTAAGAAAGGCTGAATCAATATGAAATTTTACCATGTTTATATTGTGGTGACTGTATTGCTTTTTAGGTTGCTGGTTTTAGACTGATAATAGTGGATTCAAAATATATGTGATCTTATTTTTTTTTTAAATAATACATTTAATCTCAGAAATCAATCTTTCTCTAGAAACCATAGTTTCAACAAAAGCTTTAATACAGAAATGAAAGTTGCAATAGTCTTTTCTTCACTAATATGAAGATGTTCGTGTGAAACCATAGACAGTATAAGAAGTGTGAAATGGATTTCTTGAACAAGAAAAAAACATGTAGGGCGGGACTTGACTTTGTAAATCAGGAATTGATTGGATCATTGTGGTTTGCTATTGGTCAATCTCACTTGAGTGACAAGTAGCCCCACCTTCGCGCCAGTAAACACTTCATCAGAGAAGAGGAAAGATGTTACTGCAAGAGGGAGGGAAAAAATGATGTGCATCAAAAATAAAAATTATAATAAATGCTGGAATATTCCATAAACTAACAAGATTTGTCCATTTTGATTTCATGGTGACTTTAAAAGTATTATATTGTTTATATGATATTTTAAATTAACATGTACAATTTGCATGAAATAGGTTGTATAACGTGTGCTGGGGAAAATGGAAGAAGCCCTGCTTGCCCTCCCATGGGTGCCAGTGAATATCGCTGGCTCTGATCTCCTGGCTAAAGCCTGGTTCGGTGACACACAGTACCGGGTTCTGCTGAGTGACCTGAGCTCTGTGTGGGAAGAAGAAATGAATGCAGACGACATCCAGAGTCGAGCACAGGCAAGAAAGTACAACACTGCTGGTATCTAGTTGAAGTGCCTTTAATTCAATACTTAAAAACTTCAGACAATCACACTGTAGCATTATGTCAATTCTCACTTAGTTATCAACTAAAATCAAAATTTAGAATTGATATGATGGTGCAAAACCCATAAGACTCACTGAAATGTCTTTCAAGTTAAGTCATCTTTATTTTTATTGCATTTTATACGAGTTTGTTTCAAAGCAGCTTTTACTTTGGTAAAGAGGTAATCAATGATGGAAAACAGACTTCAATTCTACTGTAAAGCAGCTCTAGAAAAACAATAGTGCCATTGTTTAGTTGAAATGAGTTCAGTTTTGATTCAGTTCTGTTCAATAACTGTCTAAACTTCATCAGTTACACTACTGGTTATAAGTCTGGAATAAGTATGATATTTTTAATGTAAGAAAAGAAAAGAAATTTCTTATTCTTACCAAGGCTGCATTTATTTGATCAAAATGTAAAAAACAAATCAAATAAAATGTAATATTTTAAAATATTATTGCTATTTAAAATAACTGTTTTCTTTTAAATATATAATTATTTAAATTATGTAGTTTATTCCTGTGATGCAAAGCTACATTTTTAGTATCATTACTCCAGTCTTCAGTGTCACATGATCCTTCAGAAATCATTCTGATATGCTGATATGCTGCTTAATTAGTACTAGTTATTATTAGTGCCAAATTATTAATAATATGTCTTATTATTATCAGTGTTGAAAACAGTTTAATAATTTTGTGGAAACTGTGATAGTATTTCTTCAGGATTCTTTGATGAATAGAAAGTTCAGAAATAAATAGCATTTATTTTAAACTTTAATGTAATATAATGTACTCGCTGAATAAAAGTGTACTATATATACTGTATATTAGGGCTGTCAAACGATTAATCCCATCCAAAATAAAAGTTTGTGTTTACATAATATATGTTGGTGCACTGTGTATAATTATTTTATATATATAAATACACACACATGCTTTATATATAATTTATATTATATATAAATAATATTTTTTTCTTAAATATACATGCATGTTTGTGTATATATATATATATATATATATATTTATACACAGTGCACCCACATATATTATGTAAACACAAACTTTTATATTGGATGCGATTAATCGCGATTAATTGTTTGACAGCCGTTTAAATAAGATTTTTTCTAAATCTTACTTATGGCAGTGTATTACGGTTTCCACATAAAAAATAGGAAGAAGACTAAAATAATGCTGAAATTTTAACTTTGCCATCACAGGAATACATTACATTTTTTAAAAGCTAAATTGTTATAATATTTCAGAATCTTATTGTAATATGAAATGTACTGTACTTTTGTATCAAATAAATGAAGCCTTTGTGAGCAGAAGAGACTTCTCACAAAAACATTATTCTTCTAAACTTTTGACAGGTAGTGTAATGATGGAATATATATATATATATATATATATATATATATATATATATCAATGCATTCTTAGTTTGCCAATATTTCATACTGATTTAATCTCTATTTTTTCTTTTTCTCTGTATGATAGGATCTGAATAAGCGTCTAAGGGCTCCAACACAGGCTTTTTTCTCTCATCTGTGTTCTGTGGCACGGCCTTCTTTCTCCAGCCAAGGTGAAGATCCGATCTCTGCTGCACACGTTGCTCTTGAAAGGCATGGCGACAATCTAACAGTCAAACTCAAAAGTGAGCTGGCCGGGCTGCCGTTCTACTGGGAGTTCCGCTGCACCACAACACCTGTAGCCGTGGTATGAACCTTCCTTATCTATTACATCATGGTCTCTGTCTGAATACTTCATTCTGATTGGCTGGAAGCTGTGCATTAAAGCTGTTTTCAGTTCACTGTTCTATATTCATACATTGCTTTCATTGAAGCACATACACACTCATCTCTCTCTCTCGATAATTAATTAAAAAAAATGCTATAATTAATTTACTCAAATAAATGTATATCTATGTCCATCTGTCGTATATATCTGTAACCGTCATTTTTACCCTTCCGGTTAAATATTATTCTGCAAACATTAATAACAGCTTGAACTTTTCAATGCTGGCAAATAATCTATACTGTATAAACTGGTTAATTCACAGCTTGCTGGAATTTAAATGCACTCCGCTTCATGTCAGGTGGGCTTTTTTTGTTTTGTTTAATAGTTTAATGCACAGCTAGCCATGGATTATCCCTTTATACCACAGAGTTGTTGACTGCTTGATTCTGATTGGTTGCCGAATGTTTGAATTATTTCCTAATAAACGCATAACTACTTCATAGTTCCAGGTCTTTAGATTGCATTACAGTTCAATTTAACTTTTAAATTTTTTTTCTTTCTAAATGGTACATTTTGTTGAACTTTTGTTTTTATTTTATTGAAATATCAGGCTTTTATGGCTCATATAGTACAATATAATGAGAATATGGAGCTCATACGCTGGAAAAGAAAACACCATTTTTATTCAGAGCCTCAAACTGAGTCAAACCGAGTCAATTCGTTCGTTTCGTTCGTTGAATGAACCAAATGACTCGGAAAAAGATTTGTTCATTTTGATGAACAAGTTCGAACAGGAGAGTCACAAACGTGCGTCGCAGTACAGAGCAAGGCGAGCATTTGTGCTTATAAAACAAACTTTTTTTGTTTTTTTTAAATGAGCGATCGTTTAGCTTGATGAGACCCTTATTCATCATCTGGATTCGTTTAAAGCCCTTTGAACAGTTTGCAGTTTGCACTAAAAGTGTCTTTTGGACTTTGAACCGTTTGGTTCCCATTGAAGTCCATTATATTGAGAAAAATGCTGGAATGTTTTCATCAAAACCCTTAATTTCTTTACGACTGAAGAAAGAATGACATGGACATCTTGGATGACATGGGGGTAAGTAAATTATCAGCAAAAGTGTTTTGAAAAGCGAACTACTCCTTTAAGTTGCTAAAGTGGATGTTCATCTTGAAACATTACTAAAAATATAAGTAACATAACATAACTAACACACGTAAGTTATTCTTACATCAAGACTTCACAGCAAAAGACACATGAACCACAACCTGAAGGTGGAGATTTTTAGAAAAATACTAAAAGGCCTTTTGCTTGCTAAAAAGTATAAATTATCAACCAGATGGTGGAAGGAATGTAGTAGATTGTGTACAAAAGGTAAAGTTTTGATCATTTAGAGGCCTTTATTTATCAAATATGATACAGTAGATGTCCATGTAGTTATTCTGCGTTGTCTTGCTTGTGTACAGGTGTGCAGGCAGCTGGTGCGCCCCCTGCTGGCGGTGAGTAGAGTCCTGCAGCGGCAGGTGGAGGATCTGGCTGTTCTTCTGGCTCGGAAGGATGCTGAAATACAGGACTATCGGGAGAACGGAGCTGTCCTGAGTAGAGGTAGCCATCGCATTTGCGGTTGAGATGCATATTCTCTTCCGTCTGTTTTTAGCTCGCTGACGCTCATCTAAAACTCTGCCCTCGCAGCCAGACTACAAACAGAGGCGTTTGACGTGCACCAGCACAGGGAGAACTTCTTCACACAGGTGCGAAGCATTTTTACATTCAGTCTCCTGCTAAATTTAGTCAGTCCGAACTAGCATGCATGTGACACCATGATTGCTCAGTTACACGTATATGAACTGAACCAGGGCACTGTGCTGCTTCTAGGGTTTGTTACCGGAGAGGGAATAGCGAGAGCTAGACAGGAAAAGAGATCTCTGTTTGACTCAGAGCTGAGGGTCACCACACACACACACACACATACATGTACACACACATTCATACAAACACAGTGTATAATTAGGTTGTGGTGTGGTTTGTTGAACTCAGAGTGTTTGCAGTGACAGCTCTGATGTAGCATTGCCTCACACTGAACTGTCTATTGACTGGATGGTGTTTTATTTCTTTTCCCGTCATAGTTGTGCGTGTGTGTGTGTTTGAGAATTTCCTGCTTTTTTTAGTGATGTGTGTAATTAGGACTTGGCCATATGATGGAGATGGACCGTTATGCCATGGTAGATGTACAGTGGGATCCAAAAGTCTGTGACCATGCACTTTTGAAAATGTTGCTATTTTTCATATTAAATGATTTTTTTAATTGCAAAATCATAAGTTTGCAGTTTGAATTAAAAATTGAATTTAAAAGTGTAGCGTTTCATATGACTTGAGAATGATCCAAAGACGGATCTGTGACGCAATAAATTCTGACCATTTATACAAAGCAGGGTTATTAAAATTACCATTATAACTAAGGCTGTCAAATGATTAATCGCATCCAAAATAAAAGTTTGTGTTTACATAATATATGTGGGTGCACTGAATATAATTATTTTGTATATAAATACATACATATGCATGTATATTTAAGAAAAAAATATTATTTATATAAAAAATATGTATATTTATATTTAATATAAATTATATATAAATCTATATACAGTATATACATAAAATATTTCTTAAATATATACAAGCATGTGTGTGTATTTATATATATATATATATATATATATATATATATATATACACACAGTGCACCCACATATATTATGTAAACACAAACTTTTATTTTGGATGCGAATAATCGCGATTAATAGTTTGAGAGCCCTAATTATAACATAACATTAACATAACATAATTAACAATTAAAAAAGCTAAAACCGTTTAAATAAAAATTCTCTCACTTGAAATAAAATAAACATTAACTGCAATAAAATAAATAAATGTTAATTTATTTTTATTATAGCGAACATTTCACATTTTCATTTTGTTTAACTTTATGTATTAAAATAACTAAAAATGAATAAAAAAATGAGAATATGTTTATTTTTTAAAACCTTTTTTTCTTTGAATATTCAGCAATACAGTAGACACACACTCTTAGAAAAAAAGGTCCAATGGGGTTGTGTATATAGAACCCTACCCTAGGGTTCTTGACTTTATGTTAAAAAGGTTCTATATAAGCATAAATGTCTTAAATGACTGCATTTATTATTTCATTTTATTCTTGTGATTAAGTATGTTTACAAGCTGCTTGATTCATAAAATAATTAAAATGAATTAAACTAAAGTTAATTCAAACTAAATCCATAAAATGGAACCCCTAAAGAGTTCTATATATGTAGCGCCTGACGGAACCATTTAAAGGTCTATTATAGAACCATTCCTTTCATATAGAACCACTCATAGCAGGGTTTTGCTCACACCACCATCCCTAAGCAAGATTGCCAGTCTATCACGCTTCTGACCACGCTTCCATACGGTCATTACACACACACTGACCACAGTGGGAGGAGCCAAACCCTCCAGCCATATATTTGTGTTTATGGGCTACTTTTTGTTCTCTTGATGTGTAATGTTCTTGTGGCTGAATCACTGAGTTATTTATTGGATTCAGCCATGAGCTTTAATTTCAGTGCTGGCAGCCGTGTTTTCTGCGTGAGGTGAGTCCTTTGATAGGTGTGTGTTTGATCTCAGTCCGTGTGTATGTGCGTGTCCATCGGTATTTCTCACTGGCCTGGTGAATGTGCAGTCAGATATGTGTGGCTTGACTTGGTGGTGTGAGAAAAGGATATGAGTCTACTCACCCACTCACTGTACTGTAGCAAACACTGAGATATAGTCGCCCCTTAAACTGGTGCTCCATAGCTTTCTCACACAGCTGATTATCAAATGATAATATAATTTTTACATATACACACAGAGTCGATACACAACATTTTTCTTAAAGGAAATTCATCATATTCAGCAAGGACACATTAAATTGATTTACTGAAAGTACCAGTAAAGACATTAATAATTCTAGTAAATATTGTTCTTTTGAACTTTCAATTAATTAAATCCTTCAGAAAAAAATGTATAATTTAGAGCTGCATGATTTTTGATGAATTGAGAATCAATTTCTGAATAGAAAATGTAATTTACTAGAGGTTCTGACAAAGTGTTAGTGTTCACTTTAAAAAAAAACAACTTTTGCTGATAATTTACTCACCCCCATGTCATCCACGTCTTTCTTTCTTCAGTCGAAAAGAAATTAAGGTTTTTGATGAAAACATTCCAGGATTTTTCTCCATATAATGGACTTCAATGGGAACCAAATGTTTTTTTTTTTAAAGTGAACTACTCCTTTAAGGTTTTTTGGAAATAGGCTCATTTTACAACTCCCCCAGAGTTAAACAGTTGAGTTTCACCATTTTCAAATCCATTCAGCTGATTTTCTGAGATTTAGAAGAATATCAGTAACCAGACAGTTTCTGGTCCCATTGACTTCCATAGGGAATCGAAAACAGTAAAACCCAACTGTTTAACTCTGCGGGAGATGTAAAATGAGCCTATTTCCAAAAAAAGGTGGAATATCCCTTTAACTGCTTCAGTTTATTTAAAAGTGTTATTCATTTGAAGACTTTTTTAATGGTTTGACTTGTTTCATTACTGTATGAATCTGCGTTTTGAACGAATCTCTTGAATAATGATTGACAAGTACATTTTTTACCAGTTTTACCATTTTTTAACCAGATCTGTTCCTTCCAGATCACTTATAGGCATTATATGATGATGCGTGTTTGAATCGAGATTGCGATCTTTAACGATTAATTGTGCAGCTCTAGTATCGTAGTTTCCACACAAATATTAAGCAGCACAACCAATGATAATATATCTTGATTTCTGAAGGATCATGTGACACTGAACACTAGAGTAATGGATGCTGAATGTTTATTTTTTGACATCATATGAATAAATTATATTTTACAATATATTTTAAGTTTCACAATATTACAGTTTTTACTGTATTTTGGTTAAATAAATGTAGTCTTGGTGAATAAAAGACTTTTAAGTCTTACCGATCCCAAACTTTTGACAGTTAATTATCATACTAGTGTTTTTATGTCATAATTTACAAAAGTCTTCACATGGAAACAATTGAATCAGGGAATCTTTTAGATGAACTGTTATATTGATATTTTTAGATTGATATTTAAGTTTACATTCGTTAGCACGAACAAACAATGAACAATATTTCTACAGAATTTATTAATCTTAGTTCATGTTAATCTGAACATTTAAAGTAAAAATTTGTGTTTGTTAACATTAGTTAATGCACCTTGGCTTGAACTAACATGAACTTCATGCTTAAAGGTTTAAATAAACATTAAAGGTTAATAAACGCTCTAAAATAAATTGCTCATTGTTAGTTAAAGCTAGTTAGTTTGTGACCTTATTGTTGTGACCTTATTGTTAAGTGTTTCCAGATTTATTTATTGTTTGCCATTATTTTCGATAGCATACCTGTTGTGTCCATTGAAATGTTAGCTTGCACGTTATTTGATTTTTTTGGACGTATCAAAGTCATTTGACTGCTGCTGTCTCGCAATACAATGGGAAATTCCACTCCACACTGAAGAATCATTTAAGACCTAAGTCAGAATTAAAACGAAGGCGTGTTTGGAAAAATGTCTCACTGAAATGCCAAACAAACATAGCGAGTCTCTGGAAAAATGGAGTCCGTTCTTGAGATTCCTGATCGGCAGAAGCCTGGTTAAGAGTGTGTGTTTGATGAATGGATGGATGGATAGGCCTGTTTGAAATTCTGTCTTTTGGCGGGCGAAACTTAAGTGAAGGCATGTTCCCATGAGTTTGTGAAGTTGAGTTTGAAAGCCTGCGGATGTCTACCCCGCCGGTGACGCATGCTCAGGTTCTTGAGGGGAGAGAAGAGTGTGAACGTTTACTTTGTGTTTTCAGTAGGCGTGTGCACAAAGACTTGTTTTAGGGTCCGTATTAGTGAACGTGCTGTCCTCTTTGCAGGTCTTGAATACATTTCCGTGTTAATGTGTTTCGATGATGCCAACTGTTGGTTTTTTAGGGTTTAAGCATAAAAAAATCAAATTAGACCCGGTGAGAAACCAGTTTTGGTTTGGCACTGATGGAGTGACCCGTCCCACTGCCACACCGGTCCATCCAGCTTACTGAACTTAAAGACCAGCAAAACACCTCAAACCATCCTGTGTCTGAGACATATACTATAGATACCTTACCGTTCAAGACATTCTACATCAAAAATACAGTAAAAACAGTAACATTGTGAAATATGATTACAATTTAAAAGAACTGTGTTCTATTTGAATATATTTTAAAATGTAATTTTTTTCCTTCAAAGGCAAAGGCATCATTACTCCAGTTTTCAGTGTCACATAATCCTTCAGAAATCATTCTAAAATGCTGATTTGCTGCTCAAGAACATTTATTATTATCAATGTTGATTGCTGTCTAATATGTTTGTGGAAACCGTAATACATTTTTGAGGATTTTTTGACCATTGCTTCTCCGTCAAGTAAATGAGATTAAAGGAGAACTCCGGTGCAAAATGAACCTTTGGTCTAATAAAACATCGGCACCTCGTCAACCGTTCTCTGAGATTTGTTTTCATGATAATCGAATGTAAAGAGTTTTATCTCTAAAAACTGTTTAGCGTATAATGCTTCCATAGTCTGTGGCTAACCGTCAACTGTCTGGTTACCATACACAACTTTTGTGTTCAACAGAAGAA